TGGAACCGCCACTGACTGAGGCACACCAGAAGTAATAAAGTGCTCATTTGACAAAACTCCAGAAACTGAGACGAGCTGAGACCGGCAGGTTAGGTATGATTCGAAAAACTGCAGTGCTATTTTATCAAAACCATAAAATTTTAGCTTGGAATGCGTGATCAATTCTATCGAAGGCCTTGGAGAAATCCAGTGATACTAGGCGAGACACGTTTTCTTATCAAGGGCCCTGATGATGTTGTCCAGTGAATTAAGAAGAGCAGTTGTAGTACTGTATGATTTTCTAAACCCAGATTGATGTTATTATCATAAAAATTAAATGTTGCTTCGTCGGACTGAGCAGAATGAAACACGGATGCAAATCATCGTTTATAGCATTTGGGTCATTGAGGTAAGACGGAATACTTTCAGTTCTTGTCTTTAAATTAAAGCCACCGATATTTATGTTATATAAATCCCTCTAAGGGGGCAAAATTACGTTTTTCTTTGTAGCTTAACCAGCTCGATACTGTCTTATCGGATTTACATTTTAAAAGTGCAGCATCACGTTCTTTCAGAATAACTTTTAACGGAAAGGTCAACCAAAGAGCCTGACGTTTATTGGATATCAAAAACGTTACGAATGTTCCTTGTAAGGAAATCAACTTTTTCATTGATGTCATTCAATAAATTGAGCTTAAATCAGCACAAAATCCGTTTTCATCAAGTTTTTAAAACCTCTAATAGTGATGAAAGTTTGCTCGGTTTTTTGACAGCAATTTCCAGCGAGCAACATACACGTCGATGGTCGAGTTATGTTGCTGTCATTTAACAATTTATTAATTGATATAATAATTGCATTGTATTCCTTTTACTAGCTCATCACTTTTGGTTTATATTAACGATTTTATCTTAATTATGAATCAGTCATTCAATCTCAGTCACAGCGAACACAAACTGTAAATTCTGTCCGGTCCATGTACACTATACACATAATTGTCGGAAATTTCCCCAGCATCCAAAACCATTGTGCCCGTAAAAAGTTCTTTAGTATTTAAAAAAACTGCATCAATCTGAGTAGCTGAAGTTTCCGTAATACGAGTGGGTTCTTTAACCATTTGACAAAAACCATAACAGGAAAAGCATTTATTGAGACTATTGTCGGCTAATATTAAAACGTTATCATAGTGACAGATACAAAAAGGTAGGACGGAGTCACATACAATGCAAAATTTTTCTTTATGAAGAATAACCTGTAGGCAGATACTTTCCATAACTGTGCTCGTATCAATACAAAAGTCAAGAAGTCTCACCTGATATATAGATTTCATATAAATGCCAATGTCACCTACTCGTCCTATATCACTGCGATAAAAATTATACTCTGGAACTTTAACAACTCCAGTAGGTATATTGCTAGTCAGCCATGTTTCGGTCACCACGAAAACTCTTACTCTTGTTCAGTTAATATATCCACAAAATCAGAAAAACTAGACAGGATAGAACGAACGTTAAGGTGACCAAATTTCACTGTTTTTAGATTCCCATCCATACTTGATACTTGAATTGTTGAAGTTTGACTGGAAAAAACTGGAGAGACTTGTTGCAGAATGTTCAATCGAGAATGAAGATTTTTTAACATTGGAACACATTACATTTTCGACTGCCTCTGATTTACCAATTCTTAAAGGTGATATACCAATGATGTTAGGATCATGCTCATAAATAAGATGCACAATGTCAGTGACACTAGAAAATTGCGATCTAACGGTTAATTGTGCTAATTTAAAGTTATGTTGGAGTATATTTAGAGTCGTAGTTGATTTTATATTTAAGAGTATTAATGTGATTTTGAAGAAAGGACATGAATTCACATCATTGGCAGAGTGGTTTATTTCAAATTTAGTTCTGACTTTCTCATTATGCTTGGAGCAGTTTATGCATTTCAAACTATCATTTGTACATTCTTTGACGGTGATTACCACTAGTTTGGACAAGCAACATCAGTTACAGTTTTTCTCAATATGGCATGTCATGTGATCTGTCATGTTTACGTTATCGGATGGCTGACAATACGCTGTTGCATGAAGTGTCCACAATAGAATAATGTAACGTATGCGTTTCCTTCAGTGAATAGAGTTTGCGTTTACGTCACTTTTAGGAGAGGTCGGATTATAAGGTGCATCCGGGCAAACACCATCCCGGAGTAATAACTAAAGACTTACATTACAAAAAGCGTATATTAATTAAATAAAAAATACATAAACACAATCATCTTGTCAAATATAGCTTTGGTACTTAATTAAAATTGTCACATTTAAATACTTACATATATATCTATAAATATACGCATATGTAAAAAGTTATGCTTTGACTAACCATATAACACTAAGAGATTTCTAATGATGTTATACAAACTTTTTCCATGTTCTTCATAAAAATTTAGAATGTAGCCCTACAAAAACAGATATACATTTAATACGTTATCATCAGAATCAATATATGCCCACTTCCCACAAATATCTAGCAGGATGCAAGTCAGGTGCAGAAAATTGTTGGCTGCTAGCAAGCTATGAAAATGTGCTGCACTAGACACCAATAGCTTTGAAAATGGAAATGTTAATGAGTCATAATCTCTGATTAAATAATCATTAATGCCTTGAAATCAGCTATGAGGCTGAGAGTATAAGTCACAACATAGGAAACAATCAGCAAAATATTTCGAGTTGGTGGGAACCGTCTATGCATGTGGTCGCGCATGCTGTGATTCTGGATTACAATCCATCAAAACGACAAAGAGGTAGTGACGCCATCGGCCGTCGCCTTGTTTCTAATACAAATGCCATAATCGTAGTTAAATTACTAAAATAGTGCCTTTGTAACAAAGTAGCATGGTTTTCTCCTGTGGACAGGGTAATTTAATCCGAAAACCCATCTCTTAATGTAACATGTAACTCCATGATTATCTGGCCACTCAATGAAACCACATGTGTTTATTGCTTTTTCACTAATTTCACTAAAATTTGTGATTTATGATAAATAAAATCATATTATTAGTACAATTCGGCTTCACTGACAAACTACATGATACGTTTCAAGAGTTAGTTTAAAAATATATATTATGGAACCTTATTCAGCAGACTAGTTATTCTAACCCTGACTTGTAATCCATAATTGCGCCGCCAAGGTCAAATTTCGTAAGAAGTAATTTTATATGGGAATGTCTGAGAGATAGGCTGCTTATTCTTTCCTATGTTGTAAGTAGTTCAGATAACGACTGCAATGGCGACGAATTAGATATTAACTTTATTCTATGGTGCATTCGAGTATAATATAAATATATAAGTATAAAATTCTATTAAAATGATTAGAGTGTCAATCTAGAAGGCAAGGGATGTGGGAGTTCAAGCCCCAACAGTGATGCCAGATAGCTCAGGATCATTTTCAAAGTTCAACTTCCTCATCATACCATAATTGAGTATAACCGATATATACTTGTTTTTATTTGTTAATATATTGGATAGTTTTGGAACTATGTTCAGAATACCAAATTGCTGTTATTCAAAGATTGATCCTATAACTCCTAACCACGAGCTGCGATTTTGTTGGATATATTCTGATACATGATTTTGAATCCGCCACCTCAAAAATGGAAACGTTAGTTAAGCGACTTTACGTACTAAGCGCCCCAGTCAACTATATGTACAAAATTTAAATAACGAGAAAGGAAAAAAGTAAAAGAACAATATATTAATCAAAATTCAATTATAAAGATATAAAAAAGACATTGTTAGTTTTGGTGATACGTAAGAAATGGCACTTTGCATCCATCCTCTATTTGTAAATTTACAAGAAGTCAATAATGTCAGGCGAGTTTGTTAGTGTCCGTGATTCATTTTTAGCAACCTTGGAATAAAAACGTATTGCAAATTGATTAATCAAGGATCAATTAATCGATTGATGAAGACCCAAATCCTAATGAAACAGCATTTGCCACATGTCACCTCAAAACGCTGCATCACTTTATTGCCAATCAAAACATTATTTTTGAATAAAAACAAGTGGCTCCATTGCCTAACATAACATGCCTTCCATAAACTAAATTTTAATAGATGCAAGAAACATACATGGTAAATTGAGTCCATCAGTTCCACAACAGATGATATCAGCAAACAGCAAACAAAAACTAAAGAGGCACTTCAACAAAATATATATATATATATATATTCACTTCATGACTCTGTAGTCAGAAAATAGAATTATCAATAACCCACGATTCCTTAACTTAAGTTATGTTCTATGTATTCCATTTTATCTAGAACTTCGTCAGTTATACGCATTTTTCTAATTACTTAATCAGAGATTTTTAGTCCAGTGGTAAAAATAAAAAAATATTAAGCACATACACGCAGTGTTAATATACAAAGAGCATACATTACTTTTTCTTACTTTTTCCCAAAGTCAATGTGTGATGACTCTGACCCATCTGTTGATACTGTGCTTTACGTCTATTGAATTCAACAATTTCATCTTCTAATTTTTTGCGAGCTTCTTCAATCTTTTTTCTTTCTTCCGTATGGTCCTTTTTCAACTTCTCAAATTTGGCGTGTAACTGAAATAAATCCGTATATTGTAGAGTGAGATATTGGATCAACATGAAGCACCAAATACTGACAGAAAAAAATGTCTATTATAATTCTAAATATCCTTACCTCTTTTTCAGCTTCTTTAATTCTGCCTCCTTCTCTTTCACCCTCACAACAAACATCTGTCTCATTTCATCTTCTTTCTGTTGTAATTCTTGAAGGTGATTAGACCTCTTTGTCTCAAATGTTTGTTGAAAGCTGACAGGTTTATTGTCAGCATCCACATCACTGAATCCCATTTGTTCCAACCTAAAAACAATAAACACAGTGATACAGATAAGATTAATTTTTCCAAATATACAACATAATATAGGAATTTACACCTTAGTAAAAAGTTAACAACTTTCTGATGAAATGATAACGTTTTGATTGATCAAAAATTGCAAATGTCTTGTTGAGGCTATGAACTTCATCAGAGGACATTTCTGAGTCACTGTCCTGTCTGAAAGTAATACTTACCGTTTTTTCCTGTAAAGTTCATAATGCTTACAATGAGTCTTTTCCCGCATATCCTCCATGTTTGTGCGAATCAGCATTTCTCTCAATTTTACAAAATCGCAATGCGATTCATTTTCCACCTGAAATGTATAAATCCCTTAGAATAAACTGATTGAAAACAATAGCTAAAAAACTGTCTCTTCACAACAGGCTGTGTATTTTTCCAGGTAAAGTATTTTTGTAAAAGGTTAAATCTGGTCTATACTAACTTTGAACAAGGAGTCCATTGAGGAACTTGTATTTAACCTATATCACCTTCAATATTATTTCAAGATCAACTTTTGTTCTTTAAATAAAAATCCCCGCTTTTGACATGAACAATCGAAAGAGCGGTAATTTTTACATCCGAATATGTATTAAACTTAAAGATCAAGGTCACCTCTACAGGTCGAATTTCGGTCAAATGTTTGGTGCTAGGGAAAATCACTAGGAGTTTAGCGGGATATATTGATGACAGGGATCATTAATGACAGGTCTTTAGTAGCTTTTACCAAAGAATTCAATGGTGAACGTGCGTTCAGTCTCCAACGTTTAAAGTTATTTCATGGCCAACTTTTTTGCAACTGGGAACTCCCGACTGACACGAGCAAATAGAAAATTGTACGATCTAATACTATTGACCTTGAAGATGGGGATTAAGGTCAAATCAAGGTCAATAATGAAATCCTTGTTACAAGTTATGAAGGGTTTGACCTTGTTTTTTGTTTCAAACTTCGAGGAGCTCTCCCTAGACTCATTCGCCCTTGAGAGGTGACCTTGAATTTAGACTTTGTGCATTCGGACGTAAAATTACCCGTTCTTTCAATAGCAATAGCCGGTGTCAAATGGGAGCTTTAAATTAAAAAAAAAAGTTGTCCCTATTTAACTCCTTATTCAAAGTTAATAAAGATACACCCAGGACCTTTTTCAAAGATACGTTACCTGGGTAAATTCAGAGCAGTTCCGTTATTTTTATTTCACCGGGTATGGAATGTACAAGTTTGCTTTCCGTCACCTGTAACCACGACCATCTGCAGACAGCGCTGTTTCGTGGTTATTAGTAACTCTTAGTGCAGTATAGGTCTTAGGTCTAGTTTTGGAGATGGGCGAAACGGGAAGCAAACAAGTGGGTATGGTCTTTTTAAAAACTCAAACCATTGTGCCATTTCAGCCGCGTCTATTTATCCACATATGACTGATCTAGATAATGTGTACTGTAGGGATGCACCAAGTACTCGGTTTGTACCCGGTACTCGGCTTACTCGGCCAATTTTACCGAGTAGTCGGTTTCGCCGTGTATTACATTACTCGGCCTAGTAATTACTCGGTCTGAACGAAATACACACAACAGAATTGCATCTACGATGTGTAAAACCTGAGCTCATACACTTTTCCCAAAGCTTCCTGATATGTCTCCCAAGACGATGCACCATCAAACAAATAGTCAAGGTTACAGGGTATTTTTGCCGAATCAGTTATAGTCCATCCAATTCTAATTGAAAATAACAAATCTACCAGGATCGCGTAAAGAATTCTAAAATCACATGTAAATACATTGTACCATAGAGCTCACCAAATTTCATCCAGTATACCACTGGTATATTTGCTACAGTAGCTCAAATGCAGCGCTGATCGGGACAGCTGAGAATATCGAAGAAATAAAAAGATTATTTTGAAGAGCAACTATCTCGACTGGTGTTTCAGTAGTCCGGGCCATTAGACGCGTCCGAACCAGCTAGTGTTTTGCTTGAATGATTTATGACTCCAGCGCAGTAGTAAAATACTGGGATAGTGCGTCGCGTTAGTTTATGATTCCGATAACTTTGTTGAAAATTTGTGGATTATTTTTGCCCTCATTTATTTTGTATTATATCTCCGCTATACATGCTGGAATTTGTTCAAAATCCGATGTTTTACATTTGTTTTCATGGGTAACAATATGCATCCAACCATCTAATTCTAATTACAAGCAACGAAACTACTAGAATTGCTCAAAACACTGAAATTTACGATTATAGCTATGTATGTATGTACTTTAATACAACCATACCTGTACAGTCCCCCAGGGATACTGCCTTGCTCTCACTGTTTTATTTCCAACCCTCACAAAATCTGTGCTGCCAACGACAGCAAATGGAATGTGGGCATTCATAGATGCATTAACTTCAGACACAGATTCATCATCTACAGGAAACTGATATACCGAAACACCATTGTTTTGTAGCTCTGCTACAATCTTGGACTTGAATTTCTGCAGTTCAGTCTTGGAGATTGTGTCTGCTTTTGCAATGATGGGAATGATGTTGACCTAAATAAAAAAGATGTTAAAATAATTTGGAATGTGCCTAGTCAAACTTCATTGGTATAATGTTAAAGACAAACTCATGTTATCAATACAATATTTAAAATAATCTAGACCTCAAATGCTTCACACATCCATAAAAATAACTAAATTTTCATGCCAAATAAATTAATGTGGAACAAAATTGCTATAGTGCTTTATATTGGTGCCTATTTAAATACCATTAAACAATAATCATGTCCTTTTTTGTCCATAAAATGCAGTTTTGTGATATTTACATCTAACCATTTAATAAATGCAATTAAAAGAAAATAAGAGGGGGAATAACAATAATAGCTTTATAAATTACCAATAATCAACCAACCTTTATTTGAACTAATTGGCGTGAGATCATACTTGATTCTCTCACACTACAGTGTATCAAAATCAAATGTGACAACTGCTTTTCATTAAAATTTGCTTCAGAGTAATTTTTATGTGAGTTTTTAGTCATACTGAAGTAAAATAATGCTGAAAGGGGTCAAGTAATTACAAGTGTTTTAACAAGAAACATTTTCCAAAAAAGTTAATATTTGTATAAATGTCACAAGATTAATTGAACATGGACCAATTCTTCATCCAAAAATTAAATGATGAATACCTTGAAAAGTATGAGATCACTTAAACAATATTTTTCCATATAGTAAGGCATGACATTTTTTTTCATGCGCAATTATCTTTCATTTTCTGGACACCCTGAATATATATAGTGGGTTTTGATCTTGACTACTTATTTACTACTTTGAGAATAAAATATATTTTACCTTCTGGTCTAGCTTCTTCATGCATACAAGATCAATAGACTTCAAGCCATGTCCAGTTGGACAAATAAAATAAAGGCAAACATGGACTCTAGAATCATGATATGCAGAAAGTGATCTTTTGATTTTCAGTTCCTCTTGTAGATAATTTTCAAACTGAGCATCAATGTAATCAACAACTGCCTTGAAACTATCTTCCTTGTTGATTTGGTCTCCATACCCAACAGTGTCAACTATTGTTAACTGAAAATATATAATTACCTAAAATAAGTCTAGAAACATTTGCAGATTAGCTTTAATTCAGCAAGATCTCAGACACATCAGAATTGTTTCCTTCTGTAATGATTATGTAATTTCATTTTTCTGGTCAAACATGGTTACTATGGTGTAACAAAGTAGATCAGACTAACCAATATACCTTGTGAATCACTTACGGTTGAGGTCTGCCGAGTTTCAATTTCTATGAGAGAGAAGCATGCATATACAATGTGTTTGGTCACAATATACCGATATTTAAGAGGGGTATTTTTCAGCTATTTTTATCGAAAAAATCCACCTCCCTACAATGTCCTACCTCATCCCTCTTGAAATGGCAGCCATTTTTATTTTTACGTTACGATTACGGTAGTGCACGTTTAAAAAGTCTAATAACTGAGTATGTAAGTGTCACAGAATGATAAATTTGGTGTGATTTGAATGATGACATGTTGTCCTAGCGATTATTGAAAAACTAGTTTTGATACTAACGGTCAAACATACTTAAAAACAGACAAAAACAGAAAAATATGGAAGAAAATTGATTATTTTGTGCATTTCCGTACACCATTCAAAAACTAGTCTGTGAAGTTGTACTTTTTTGTGCTATTTCTACAGCTTTTTGTTATCCTAAGTATTCTACGTTAAGCAATAAATCTAACATGGGTCAACAAGGGTGTAATAAAATGCAAAATGTTTTCAAACTCTCTAAACATAAAAATGACAAATCAATGTTTCTGATAGAGAGCTTGGACATGTTTAATATTAGAAGCTTTTCAAAATGTCCTCCATTATTGGATATGCACATTGTTGTTCTTGAAAAAATGTGTCGTGTTGAACGGCAGACCATATCCGTGTCAGCCCTAATTTTATTCGCAGCAGTATGGATCCATTTCAAGGATGGTGAGGTAGGACATTGTAGGGGGTGGATTTGTCAATAAAAATAGCTGAAAAATATCCCCTTCAAATATTGGTATGTCGTGACCAAACACATTATTTATTAGAAGGAGTTAGAAAGAGCACTTCATGACATTCTTCACTGTCTTTGGCAGACAATGTAGTAATTACTTCTGGGCACACCATAAATCATTTGCATGGTATACATGAATATACACATCATCGTCATTCAATGTGATGAACAACATGAGAATAGAAAACTTAATCTTGTATCTTGTTAAATATACTTTTTGATTTGGATATTCTTTGGTAGATTTAATTTTACATTATCATACACAAATTGAAAAGTTGCAAACTATTAATATCTAAAAAGTTAAAACAAATAATTAGATATTTGTCAACAAACGGTTGTGTCAATAATACTAATTTAAAAATAGGAATTAAATTTGCAAAAATACTGTAGGAGTGAAACACACCTTTAACCTCACATTGCTTTCCTGCAATTCATAGGTATGTGCTTTTAGTTTAACTGTAGGTAATGTATGGGGACTGGGTGATGATTCAAAGTTTGTATTGAACAGTGAATCCATCAGTGTTGATTTTCCCAAGCCAGTTTCTCCTGCAATGAAATGAGTTATGTTAACCTTATGTTGGCTCATAATACAAGATTAAAGCCCAGTTTAAGTCATATTATTTCTACACTGATAATATTTATAATGACAGGTAACATTTTACAAGTGTATCAGGTAAAATATAATTTTTTGGCAAAAATGGCTTTCTTACAATGAGTACAAATAATATGAAGTTTATTTTCTAAAATAATAAATTTCAAAATGTCACATATTCAGTTAAATTACTAATTCTATAAATGCATTAAGAATATTACTCATAATAATGAAGAACCATTTTTTTAATATTGATAAGATCCCAGAACTATCTAAGAAAAATGAAATCTAAAAATTAATCAGATTTGGCATTAACATTAACTAAGTACAATATGTTTATTGCACATCAACACATAGATGTGAATACAATTTGATATTTGGAGAAGGCTTATTTATTTTCTTCTTTGTGCATTTCTATGCCATTTCAAGCTGATTCTTATGACCTTTGGGTGTTCAGGTTGCTGTTAGGTACTATCAAATGGATTTGGATGAAACATTTCACTTGCTCAAGATGGTAGTTGCTCAGATTTTAGGCTACTTCCTTGGTTACTGTTTATGGCAAAACTGTGTAAGTGGTACAATAAAGAACAGTTATAGCAAATCAGAAACAGACTTACCTATACACATAATGTTAAATATAAAACCATTTTGCACACTTTTTGATACCAACTGGTCAGGCAAGCTATCAAAGCCTACGTGACCTGATAATGTTAAGTTCCTCATTTGTGCCTCCACCTGATAAATAAGAGTTATGTTTCATAAAGCTATTGATAAACGGCAAATACCTATGAGAAATAGGTCATAACAATAGAGAAGGCAACGCCCTAACGTTTTCCCATCCTATTTCCATAATATTGTTATATATTAAACAATGGGGATTATACTTACGGAGGCACTATCAACATCTACAGGAGGCATTTTCAACACTACCACCAAGAACTAAAACAACTCGGACGAACTGAGTAGATTTGGCTTCAAATAATGATTTTCAGCAGCATCAACACGAACGATCAACAAATAGTGGCAGTATGACAGTGACAGTACTACAATCTGTGACAGTACAGTAGGCGTATTCTTGAATTCACCGGTTGAGCCACCGGTTCAACCGGATAACCAATTTCAGGTCCTTTAATTTCCGCTGGAACGACCGGTTGTACACCAAACTTGTCTTTATATTGATGGTGGATACGCCACCGGTACCAGCAGCCAGCAGCATCCACCGACGTTCGGAAACGGTTGATCCAGAACAGACAAATATTCTAACCTCTACGTTTAATCATTCCTGTCAACTTCAGCTTTGTGTCTAAAAAACATTGAAATGGTAGCAGAAAACTTTGAAGTTGTGTTGCAGCATAGGAGTGGCGTTAAATTTAATGTATTTGCAACACCATCAGAGATATGCAGCTCATCTGAGGGCAAGTGGTTTTTTTTATTTAATTATGTATTTAAAAATTTTTTGGTTTCCCGATTTATAGTTGTCTTAGGCCCGTATCGTCAGTCGTCCTTACCATTGTAGGGCGCGTTTATGGCCTCCTTGATTGTCATACTTCTTTCTCTCCTTCAAAAATTTCTAGATTACACTTGTCCCGTGTCAGCGTCAGCGCTCTCCTATTGTGAGGATATGTTTTCTTTTTAAATTATAGGAAATTTCAGGCTGATAAAACGTGATATAACTCGAAAGCAAGCACAACTTGATGCAAATAGTTGTTTGTGACATAACCTCAAAATAGAGTTCTGACACGGAGAAGTAGAAAACTATGTGTAGGGACGACTGACGATACGGGCCTTATTGACACTTCTGAGAAAGTTGTTCTGATAAATCAATTTGAAAAAGTCATTTCTACATGTTCCAGGGCAAGCATCCTTGGAAGTAATGGATAAGGTATTGGGAAATAAAGCCTATGGTGGGCTTCCACCACAGACCCTAAGCCCATTCATTAAAGAAACTAGAACATTAGAAGATATAGACTCGGCAGAAGAGAATATTTCGGGTTCCATACAAAAGTCAAAACAGTGTCACATTGTTGGAATGATAAAATGGTATTCGAGAAAAAAAAGTTTTTGTAAAAAATGGAAGAAAGAGTTGGATGATAGGGAAGTTTTAAAAGAGAAAAAAATTGATGCTATAAACAATTTAGCAGATGTCATCAGAAGCTCTTCTCATTCAGTGTGAGGTTGATGCATTATATACAATGACACAGGAAGCGTTTCTGTTGAATAGCTGTTGATATTTCCATGTTTGAGTTAAATACTTTTTAGTTTCTTGTAGTTTTTGTTTTGTGATATTATATAATGTGGTTGAAATTAAGTTTGGATGTAATATAGATATAAATCAAATTCATGTGGATAACCAAATGGAAATGGTATTTACCATTTTGGGTTAGTATTTACCGATCCGTTCAAGCGAGTGTAGTTATCAGTTTGGTTATAAGATCCGTGACGTCACGAATCAGCTGTTATACGTCATAGTTATCACCGCAAAATTGTGGTATTTACCCAACTCAAGAGTAGTTTTATATTTCTGGTTATTGTTTGAAATGTGACAAGTTAGAATTTTGCCGGGTATTGGATATTGTTATTGTACTTCAGCTTCATTTTTGAGAAAATTGATAGAGGCTGACTTCAGTTTTACCATAAAGTGGAGCTCCTTATTAGTTATACTCATTACGGTTGTTGGGGACACTTTAAATGTAGTTCCTATGCTTTACAAAGTATCCTGTGTAGCCATATACCACAAGAATATTAAAATATAGCCATATAAACTCACTAGATGATATCCACCTGTATACGGTTTTGCTAATTTCTTTTTTCATCATTTCTGCTGAATCAATAAATGTTTTCTTTGACATGCGGAAAAATTTAGAGAATTGAAAGTTATCATAGCTACAAAGCCATGGTTCCATCATTAAAAAAAAAATCTGAAAAAAACATTTCTCCCATGAATATTATGAATTATTTATTTAAACTTTCCATACACAGTTGTAGACGAAAAAGCATCGATTATTAAGTTATAATAAAAATAACCAGAGATTATATACGCGCTTTTCTAAAATAAACAACTAGCAACAAAACCGCGGTTAAAACCAACGCGTTCAAGCGATTCGTGTAACTGACGTCATCAACCCGTGTGTCATCTTCAACCATATTATAACCGCGGCACATAACACAGAAATTTTGGTTATTCGCTTGGATTTGATTATATTGTGAATGTTTATCATCTTTTTTTTCAGTTACGAAGACTAATGCATTAAATTTGTAGTAAAGTTATACCTTAAGGTATATAGATGCTTATGTGTGTTGAATATCTTGTTTATATAGGAATATATGTGTGGCAACAAATAACTCCAACAACAAATGATCATTTTACAAAAATAAATATACAAAATAAGCGGTTCGGAGCTAAAATTAACAAATATCCAAGAACGATAAAACAGAGGTTATGTTTTCTCATTTGACAGGAACCTGAAGGCTAAATGCGTCTTTCTGTTGACCACCATTCAATGGAACTGGTTGCTGACGTCATCACATCAGCTGCCAACCGTAAGTTTTCCGGATCCAGCATTGACGGAATCAACCGATGAATTACAGTGTACGCCTAGTATCTGTGGTACGGTAACACAGACAGTAACTTGACTTTTGACAGATCAGTGACGCTAACTATATGTCCCATGCATTGGCATTGAGGAGATGATGCTACATTCTAATTGTGATTCTAATTCTACATTGGCCATTGCTTCAGGGTCGGGCTGGCCGCTAGACCTGTACCTGTAGTACAAATCGAATTGCTAGGACCATGGCCATCCCAGATCCGATGTTCTACCTCCAACAGCTTGATAAAACCTATTTTGTTCTCAGTATTAGCCTCAAATCAAGTTAGAAAATTGTTGAAATCAGTATTTTATTCTTATAATTACATGTTGACCTTGCTTAAAAAAGTTTTCATTTTAACTGGACCATATGTTTTGTGCTTTGCTTTTCTTCTATCCACTTTTAACAATACGCTCCATTAGTCTGACGTCACTAAGTGAGGTAGGTCAGGTCGTCAGGTGTCAGGGTTACCAGATTGGGGGATTTTCCCCCAAATTTGGGGTATTTTTCATTGCTTGGGGGAATTTTTGGGGGTATACAATGCGTGGGGGATTTTTGGGGGAAAATTATTCCGTTTTGGGGTTTTTTTGGGGTGCGATTTTAAGAAGACATTCTGTCGTCCGACCAATTTTCAAGTTTCAATTGAATTATTGGAATTCGAGAACAACTTTGAATAAATATAAATTCATTTACAGATAATCCTGCCATCTTTCAACAACTATTAAAATTATTCTGAAGCACCTACATTACAGTTTCCTTCAATAGCGGCAAAATATTATTTTGTTTTCGTGCGTTAGATGGCGTGATTAAATAAGTGTTTCTCATCTATGTGAAACCCAGAGAATCGTGTAACTTTATTTCCTTTCCTATCATTAACTTTATAGGCTATATTTCTTTTACTTTGGAGTGTTCAATACGCATGGTTTATCCAAATTAGTGTTGTACATGTCAATCTAAATATGCCTAAAGAAAAGGAGTCGTTATATACCCGAAAATACCGAGTTGCTTGGGAATCCGATGCTGAACTTAAAGGTAATCTATTGAAATTTTGATGGTGTGGGTTATTAATTATAATTATTCATTCCATATAGGATGGATTGGTCCTGTATTAGCAGATGAGACAAAGTCGCTTTGTAAGATATGTAAATGTACTTTAGCTGCACATAAAAAAGACTTACTGCTTCACGGTAAAAGTAAAACATCAAGAGGCGGAGAAAAGATCTTTGGCTGGCCCGAGTAAAAAAATTACTGAGTTTATGAAAAAAGGTTTGACCGCCAGCAGGAAAATAGGAGAATTAAAAATTGCTGCATTCATATGTGAGCACTGCTCACTTGCAACAATTGATCATCTTGGATCACTTTTAAAAAATTTAGATAAATCATCTGAAATATTAAATGACGTTAAATTACACAGAACTAAATGTACATCTTTAATATTGAATGTGTTGGCTACTTCAATACTAAATGACTTACTTTTGGATGTTGCAGATAGTAAATATTCATTGATTATAGATGAGAGCACTGCAGTCGATTCCACAAAAATGCTATGCGTTATGATAAAATATTTGAGTAAAAAGCAAACTAAGATTGTTACGACTTTCTACAAACTTATCGAAATTGAAAAGGGAGATGCCATAACTATCTCGGCTGCGGTGACAAAACAACTGGAGCTAGACGGTTTAAAATTAGGGAATCTAATAGGAATCGGTGTTGATGGAGCCAATGTTATGGTTGGAGCGCATAATTCAGTAGCTTCTTTTTTGAAAGCAAAGAATAATGAACTTGTTATTATTAAGTGCGTCTGTCATTCTCTGCATTTGGCAGCAGAGTATGCATTTAAACTTCTACCTATTTTTTTTTTTTTGGCTTTAGGACCTAATCCATGCAGCCAGAAACTAGGTTGTTATATTTCACATTTCTAGACAAACACACGACGTCACAACATCCATGGCCAAGGCGAGATTCGAACTCGCGGCCCGGCCGACCGGCTGATCAGTAGCACGACACTCTGACCCACGCGGCCAACCGAGGTCCCCATTTGGACTTTATAATCAAGGAATGCCACAATTGATTCTCTTGTAGTACAAAAAGGCAAATAGCATACAAACAAATATTTGAAACACTGACGGATCAAAAACCACTAAAAATTGACCAACTATCAGGAACCAGATGGCTAGCCAGATACAATGCGATAGTTAAAATTCTAGAACAATGGGATGCATTAAAAATACACTTTGGTATAGTAAAAGATAATGAAAGGTGTTATATGGCTGAACAGCTGTTTCAAATGTTATCGGACCAAACTAATGTATTATATTTCACCTTTTTGAGTTGGACATTGAAAGAAATAATTAGAGTTAATAAACTGTTTCAGTCAGAGTGTGCAGATCCACTGAAATTAATGGAAGATTTGAATTTATTACTTTTCAATAACCTAAGTATTTTAGTACCACCTATGAGACTTCAAAAAATTTCAAAAAATAACGTCGTTGATTTCAAATTTGAAGATTACATTATGGATATAGAATTGATAAATTTAGGATATTCGTTCAATTCAAAAGCGTCAATTAAACAAGATGAACTACTAATGGTGCGAACTAGATGTACAGATTTTTTAGTGGAATTATGTCGACAAATTCAAATGAGAATCCCTGAAAGTATGAATATTTTGGAGAAAATAAATTCATTTAACCCCGAATTAGCTACATCCAAGATACGTCAACCTGAAATAACTAATATTGCTTTATCTTTCTCAACAATATGTCCTGACCTTGATAGTACAATTGCAGAATGGAAATCACTTCCTCGAATAAATTGGATAAACCTGCATGATACAGAAAAGTTTTGGGTTGAGGTGGCAAATAACGTCGATGCAGCAGGGGAACCTAGATATAAAAATATTTCATCATTAGCTCTTGCGTTACTTAGCCTTCCATTTTCTAATGCTTCAGTTGAGAGAGCTTTTTCCATTATAAATGTGGTAAAAAACAATCTTAGAAATCGCTTGGCGATTCATAGTACAGATGCTATCATGAGAGTTCGATAGTATCTGTGCAATTTAAAAAATGGTTGTACAGATTTTCAACCAACTGAAAATATGTTGCAATATTTCAATTCTGAAAGAATGTATGATTGCAAAAAGGAGGAGGAAGAAGTTTTAAATGCATTCTCGGAGCTGTAGCATACTACTCGTATATTATGATAGTAAAAAAATATATATTTATGTTACTTGTTATTAGTTATTAGTGTTATTACCATAAATACCATACTCATAAGACAATCTTAGCCAACCTGCAAAGTATAATAATAATAATAAATATCTTTGAAAGTTTTGGGAGATTTTTTTAAAGATGTGCTTTTTGGGGGAATTTGTTATTTAGGCTGGGGGACTTATAGAAATAGGTCTGGCAACCCTGTCAGGTGTCTGAATCTAAACAAAGGAAGTCGCCATTAGAGCTAGTCAGTGGCTATTTTATTTGCATCTTTTCTGCTGTGATTTGATCATTTTAAACGAAATTAACTTCTGAAAGTAAGTATTTGGTTCATTATTCAAACAAAGCATGAAAAAATATCACGTACAATTAATAAATGACAATCTAATTTTAGCGACGAAATTATTATAGGTTATGTTGTAATAGTATAATAAAGCTAATTTGTATCTTTCTTCCATAACTTATTGCACAATTTCAAAAATATACGATCCGTAACTAATACGAGCTTATTTTCAGTGTCCTCGAAACGTGTTATTTCGTTTTCGGCAATAGGAGAATTTTTCAAGGATGATATATCCCAGCTTCAACGTGGTGAAAATGCTTTTGAAAGTGGGAATGTCCACAAAATGCTATTTGATGCAGAAGTTTCTCCAGCACTATTAAGGGGAGAAGTCGCCGCAAGTATGAATAAAAAAATGTATGCTGTGGAGGTAATACTAATTGATTTATATGAATGTTTATTTTTATATTAATGAATGCTCATATTTCAGATTTCATATGATCTTGATGATGGGATTGTCTGTGCTAAATGCTCCTGTCCAAGAGGTCTAGCAGTTTGTCACCACATGGCTGCTCTTTGCATCCATGCTCACCATAACATAAGCGTGACAGATAAGACATGTTTATGGAGTAAACGGAAGCCAGCAGAAACTGAACAGGTCACAAAAATTAGTGATATCTACAAGCCTAAATATTCAGGTTTCAAAGCTGCTCAAAGAAGTGCAACTGAATCTGAGATTGTAACATTGATTCAATCAATAGGTGATGCTACACCTGTAGGATTTACGTGGTGGTTGTTGCCAGAGCCTTCAGTAGACCTCATGTTGTTACCAGACATTGAGGCAATAATTTTTTCCAACGAGTATACAACAGCTCCCAATAAAGAAGACTACTTTTTACAGAAATGTTGTGTGAGTGAAAGCATAATAAACAGAGTTGCAGAGATGACTATTGGTCAGTCAAACAATGCTAATTGGCTAATGGCTAGAAAGTACAGACTGACATCCAGCAAGTTTGGTGCAGTTTTATCAGCTTGCCAAAAGAAGAAGTACCCAAAATCATTATTCAAAGGGTTATTAGAAGGATACGATTTGAGTGGAGTTCGGGCTGTTCAGTGGGGAAGGGAAAATGAACAAAGCGCCATAGAAAAATTTCAGGAAATCACAGGATTACATGTAGAACCAGCAGGATTCTGCCTTGATGAATGTGGTTTTTTAGGTGCAAGCCCTGATGGCTATATAAGTGAAAATTGCATTATTGAAGTGAAATGTCCTTTCAAACATAGGAATGTAGAAAAACTGTCAGAGGTGCTCACCAGTAATGAAAATTATGTTGTATTTTATGATAACTCTTCCTGGACCATTAATGAAAATCATATTTATTATCACCAAGTACAGGGACAGTTATACATCACAAATAAAGATATGTGTTATCTAGTAATATGGATTCCAAAAGATACTATAATTATGAGAATTTCAAGAAATGATGAATGGAAAAATAATATAAATACTTTAAAATCGTTTTACTGTCAACAATTTCTGGCGAATATTTTATTATGATTGGGTAATAAAACAATATTTATGCAACTGATGTTTTATTTTACATATTTTACAGACATTATCTTCTCTACCAGCTGTCAAATTATTTTAATTTTGAATTAGGAAATTGTATAGTATTATACCCTCTGTTTGCACATAAAAGATGTTTGATTAGGTAGCTAGTAGAGAAGATGAATTATAAAGTACAAAGCAGTTGAAAAATTACATTTCAAATACAGTGATCATAGAATAAATACAGTGGTTTTTTAATACAACAATATGTATAGGATACAAAATCCAAAATAAACTTTCTAAAACATCTCTGAACATTTCTTAGAGCAAAAAGCTCAACATATTCATGTAGAGACTGGATGGTTTTGGTGGATCTCTTTAACTGTAGTCATTGGCATGTAGTGTAAAACAAAAGATATATTTCATTAAAAGTTGTCAATGAGAATACTAGTCATATAGCAGCAGTTTAGATTTTTATGGGTTATTGAATTATTTCTATGATTCTTGTAATGTCTTACTGATATATGAATGAAAATGTGCAGGACAGTTATATTATTTATTGCTAATTTATGTTGTGCTCTCTTATTTTATATACTATAAACCAGATGCAAAACTATAGCTTATGGACACCTTCAGAATAAAACTGTTCAACTTCTCTTATAAGTGGGTACTGTAGGTTTGTCAAAGCACCTATAACTTGGAATACTATATCTGCATGTGGCAACAAAGCATATGGAATGAAATCTAAGATATTGAATGTTTTTAACCTTCTTATTGCACGTTCAACATGAATCCTAGCTCGTGCAATACATTCTGTTTGTCTTACCTGTTCAGCAGTAAATTGACTTGTTGTAAGAAATGGTGGAATGTTAATACTGACACCAGAAGGCATTAAATCTTTTATTAAAAAACATTTGTCTGCCAATACTAAATCTCCTGCTTCAAGCTGATCAAGTACTCCACAATCCTTGACAATTTTTTTGTCTGAGGTTGACCCAGGATACAAACTGGACATATAAGTAACTGCCCCATTTGGAGCTACACCAACTAACCCTTTGCAAGTATTTCTATGTTTGTATGAGCTATATGTTAATTTTTGTGTAGCCATACTTGACCTACATACAGATGTATATACTTCAGTACAATCTATGATTATTCTACAGTTTGTGAAACTACTGAAACAATTTGGCAAGCAAAGTTTGTTTTTATTTCTAGAAGGAATTTTTGCCATCATTTGTTTGAAAAGGATTTCATGGAGTAAATGTATCCATGTTGTAATAACATTTGATACTGTACCCTGAGATACATTGAAACGAACAGCTAAGTCATCATGGGGAAAATTTTGTCTTAACTTAATCAGAGTCATGAATAACTGATCTATTTTTCTCATCTTTTTAACCGTCCATTTATAATAATAGTTGATTTCAATGTCCTTTAACAGGTTGTATAAAGACAAAAAAATTTTCTCTGTGGGTAAGCCTGTATACAGCAGGATTAGCCTATCATTTCCTCTCACAACATCAAAAGAAAACCTATCTGTGAGATGCATAAGGTTCTTTGTAGCTTGCCCCAGATCTTGCCTCAGATAATAGTTTTCAGCATCTAGTGATGCATTTGACATTGAACTTTCTGCACGAGGTTCATCAATTTGTGCTGAGGTGGATGGCTGCGACTCACTTTCAGATCTGTGAACACAATGCATTTGCAGATACTTGTATGAAATTGATATTGTAGGACTAACCTTATATCTACATTGATATTAATAGATTGATCAGCTGCCTTTTTACGGGTTCTTTTTTCTGGTGATGGAAAGTTCAATTGCTTCTCTTTATTATATGTAAATAATGTAGGCCCATTTTCTTTCTTCCCATCCACAAAATGACAACTACATAAGTAAGCACCAGGACCTGGTTCAACTGTTCTCCTGCAATCAAATGAAACATACACATATATGAATGTTGTTGTCCTCAACTAACTTTCCAATGTCCCCGAAAAATATACATAATTCCAGTATGGTCTTTGTGGCGTTACCTTGTAAGTTTTATCCAGCGATTCCTTGTTTTTGGATCTTTAGGAAATCTGAACATCTTACATGTTTCTCTAACATTATAGTGCTTACAGTCGGGTGCCCAGCACTGCACCATTTTCTGTAACAAATAACAACCATCAGAGAAAAAGTAGTGTTTGAAAATATCCTATTCAAAGAAATTTCAAAAGTTAGGTTAAGTGAGTAACAATATCTAAATATAACATATTTTATAAGGAAAATACTTACATCATATTCAGCGGATCACCTAGTTATAGACGGACTTGTAAACTAGCAACCTTATTTCCAACAAAAACAGTTTCAAAACTCCACTTTAACCACTTGATCCGAGAAGAAGAAATGTCAAAATACTTGTTTAGATTCAGTGCCATAACCTAACCCAATATGTGACGTCATTGCTAATGAAGCGTATAATCAAATTCAAGCAGATAACCAAATGGAAATGGTATAGTGGATACCAAATAAAATCCGATGCACGTCATAGGTGATGTCATTCATAAAAATCATGGTTACCAACAGTTGACTACATTCAATGTGACATTTCTACTTGAAGTTTAAATTTCCCCGACTCGATTCGGTTGGTAGTGCCGTGCAGAGAAATGTGAGGTTGCCACTTCTCATTTGTTGACATCAGTTGCCATTGTCCTTTTGTCGTACTATTAGTTCTTTATTGTTTAGTTTGTGAGTTTTGCGCTATTTGAGCTTTGAATCGTTGCCTTGCCAATTAAAAATTGTTCTTTTCAGAACAACAGTTACTGTGAAGTGGTGTAAAGTATCCAAAATGCCAAAACAACTTAACAGTCGGTGTAAAGACCTCATATCATGCTTATTAGAATACTTCGAACGGGAAAGGGATAATAATGGCCCACTTTTGCCTTTAACTGCTGTAAGGGCGCTGAGTTTACGCTTGTTGATAGCATAAGTAATAGGAACATTAAGGTTAATCTTCTTTTTCTTATTTTTAGCGCGTAGCAGCAGCATTGAAATTAAATGTGTCTACTATAAGTGGTATTTCACAGGCAGTCAAAAATAAAGAAGTTTTACAATCGCCTCCTAAAAAACGATGTACTCCAAAGAGAGTCACTAATATTTCAAGGCTCAATACAAGTGGTATTCGTAATACTATTTACAACATGTATGAAAACAGTAAGTTGCCCAACAAACATATTTTGAATTAGAGAATGTATAATTGTTTTTTTGTAGAACAACATGTATATATAAACAATTTACTTTATTAAATTTATTTGCTTAAAAGAAAATGTGCAAAGTCTGGCAACAGCGCACAGCTCCAGATCGATGACGTGCATCGGGTTTTATTTGGTATCCACTATATTTACCATTTTGGATTGGTATTTACCGATCCGTTCAAGCGAGTGTGGTTATCAGTTTGGTTATAAGATCCGTGACGTCATGAATCAGCTGTTATATGTCATAGTTATCACCGCAAAATTGTGGTATTTACCCAACTCCGGAGTAGTTTTATATTTCTGGTTATTATTTGACATGTGACAAGTTAGAATTTTGCCGGGTATTGGATATTTTTATTGTACTTCAGCTTCATTTTTGGGAAACTTGATACAGGCTGACTTCAGTTTTAGCATTATTTATAATCATCACTGTTGTTGGGGACACTTTAAATCTAGTTCCTACACTTAAAAAAGTATCCTGTCTAGCCATATACCACAAGAATATTAAAATATGGCCGTATAAACTCACTGGATGATGTCAACCTGTATACGGTTTTGTTAATATCTTTTTTCATCGCTTTTACATCATTTTTGCTAAATCAATAAATATTTTCTTTGACATGCGGAAAAGTTTAGAGAATTGAAAGTTATCATAGCTACAAAGCCATGGTTCCATCAGTAAAAATTTTTTTCGGAAAAAAAAAACATTCCTCCATTAATATTATGAAAGTTTTCTTTTTTCAACTTTCCATACCCCGTTGTAGACGAAAAAGCACCGATTATTAAGTGATAATAAAAATAATCAGAAATTATATACGCGCTTTTCTAAAATAAACATCTTGCAACAAACCGCGGTTAAAACCAACGCGTTCAAGCGATTCGAGTAACTGACGTCACCATCCCGTGTGTCATCTTGAACCATATTATAACCGCGGCACATAATACGGAAATTTTGGTTATCCGCTTGGATTTGATTAATAAGTGTCAACAATGTCAACATTTGTCAACAAAAATAATTTTATCGTTATCAGCAAATGTTGGTTAAAAATGTGGAAATTTTTGTAAATTCAAGAAAACACCTAAGAAAGAATTCTTTGGAAAATACAAACATTGAATTAGATTGCTATGGATCTACATAAACCGGTGGATCTAACTAATAGGGTGAGAATTTGTAGGATGACTGGTGTTTCTTCAAAATATTCAAAACTGAACTGTTTTTGTTCCAGAGTATAGACGATCTTACTTCTGAAGAAAAATGGAGGTATGGTATAATTGAAAACTTCCAATGTGTACCATACATTTATATATTTTTATAGGCTGGAGCATCAAAAGATTCATGAACAACATAAGGGCCATGAGAAGATGCATGCTGAAATGGTCATCATCTTAATTGTTACAGTTATAGTAGCCCAAGTTGTACTTATAGAATGGAAAAAACGTCACTACAGGAGTTATTCAGTAAGCCTTCCATTCAGTTTCAATTTTCTAATTATTTTGTGTGTAGCTATCACACTTCAAACAAAAGCAATGCTGTATTTTAGTAACACAGATTGAAATATCACATAAATATGACTGTTTCAGAACAGTTTTTTGTCTTTTATCATGTAGATTAATGAAAATATTGACATTTCTGTGACTCAAGAAATTTATTGTTTTGTAGAAATAAGGTAACAAAGTGCCATCTATTACCAGAATCAACCTCTGCAAGAGCATATAGCAGCTATGAGTTAGAACTATAAAGATCTCAGCTCACATTTGATAGCCCAGTATCCACTGTGAGCACTAGGCTAACAATTCTTGTGGTATAGTAGATGCAGTCCACTTGTGTAACAACTAAACATGCTATCTTTGGTCTGATGGAAGAAAATAGAGCCCACAAAAAAATAAGTACATCCGAATGATTCCAACATGAATTGAAATGTCACAAAAATATGACTGTCTAAGACCATTCAGTCTTTTTATCTTTTAGAATAATGAAAATGCTGACATACTGTGACTCAAAAGTTGATTGTTGTGTATTGGTTCTTTGTTGCATATTATTTATATCCCAAGCCTGCATCTTATAGATCGAAGATCATTAGCATGACTACTGCAGAGTTTGACCCCTTGCTAGACATGCTTTTAATACTCAACATGTATTTTGCGAGCTATATTAGCATCCTTGGGGGAAGAACTGTTGTTGCAGTTAATCTCCCCTGAATGCTAATGTAGTTAACAAAACATGTGTCTGATATTAAAAAACCAGTTTAGCAAGTGGAGCAGTCATATTTGCTATGCCAAAGTATCTGATATTACATATATGATCATTAATATGTTGCACATGAAACTGTTAAGTAAATTCTCATTTTTGATAAAATCAATTATAGAATATTTCAAATTTTTGAATGTGCAACTCTGTAAATGAGATTTAAGCTTTACTGTTTATGGGAAATGCAGTCTGAATCTAGCTTAATTATTCCTCTAAGATTTTCATCTTTCCATTTTACAGATAGTAACCTTACTGGGCATGTGGGTAGTCCCCATAATATTGTGCCTTCGAAACCACTGGTGGCGTTTCATTTTTACATGGTTGTTGTTTTCCTGCATAACAGGTCTCATAGTTAGAAAAGCATTACAAAAGCCTATTGATAGAACCACTCCAAGGTAATACTCTGACAATATATGATTTTACCAAAAATTACAACACTTCACAAATGAGGTATGATAGAACTACAGATGTATGTTTAATAAATGAACAGATAGAGGTGGTAGAGTGTCTTGACATCCAGTTCTAACAAACTTATTTTGATAAAGAGTTTTGTGGTTTGTTTGAATCCTAGTTGAATTTAATCTTTTTCAGATTGGTTTACAAGTGGTTCCTTTTACTGTATAAACTGAGTTACGTTCTTGGTCTCGTAGGCTATTTTATAATGATGGCCACATTCTTTGGACTTAATCTGCTGTTCAATGCAAAACCCAATGATTGGATGGATTGTGGTTTAATATTTATATTCTATGGATTGTATTATGGAGTATTGGGTAGGGACATATCTGAGATATGTTCTGATAAAATGGCAGCTCATATAGGGGTAATAAAGAAATAATTTATCTGTTATTAAAACATTTATAAATCATTATTGAACATCTATAGGCAGACATCCAGAAGATTCACTATTGATTTTTGTTAATCAAATCAAAATGGTAGTGTCCCATTCTTGAATTGACATAGTAAAATGGTAGAAATTCCTTATTTGCAGCTAGGGAAAGGTTTCTAGGTCTATTTAAATACAGAGCACCCTGTATTAGCCATAGTGTGCATTTGAGCAAGAATATGCCAAATTATATATATATATATATATATATATATATATATATATATAAATAATTATTTGGTAAAGAAATGATAGCTAAAAGTTTTTAAATACCATCCCATTTTAAATTATACCAAAATCTACCATTTAATTATTGTCGAGCGCTGAGGCATAAGCATCACCAATGTGTCATTGCATAGCATTCTTGTCATAAACTGTGTACAATATATACCAAAAAGTAGTTGTAACCAAACATACCAGTTGTATAATCAGCTTTATTTTAATGAGCATTGATGAATTTACCATTTGACGTCGTCCTTCTCTTTTAGTATTATTCACCTCAAGGCATTAGTACAAGAAGTTTAGATAACAACGTTTGCGCCGTGTGTGGTAACAAATTGCTCGTAGCGGAGGATGAGGAAGGTGTGCTAGAAAATACTTACAAATTATCATGTAATCATGTGTAAGTACAATGGGTTATAGTAGTGTTAAGGTCATTGACAGAAAAAATCACCTATCTAAACTTTTGTTTCTAGAAATGTCTCACTTTTTTATGCCAGACAATTGTATGAACAAAAAGGCTGATCTCAAGCAACTCGGCGTTTTTCCCTTTTAACCTCAGGTTTTAAATCTTTCGCTTTACCTACGATTGTTGAATGGTAACATTCAATACACACTTTTCCACAATTGTTTCTAAAACTTTTTATTACCATCTTAAATACCACACGTAATTCCCATTAGGTTGGCAATTCAGGTAACGAAATAATCTCGTTACAATCAATCATATATAAATAATTTCAACTTCACAAGTCGCTTTCGGCTTGCTGAGCACGTGTTGAATATGTGGAAGTTACAAAAAGATTGTGATGTAAACGTTTCAAAAATTAATCAATCTTCAATTCTTTTAAATCTGTTAGTGATTTTTTAAAAATATAGGTATGATTTTTTAGTCATTTTTCTAAATGAACCTCATACATCCATTTTTTATCGTTTGACTAAAAGCTTGAGTTTTAAAGTTGAAAGAGTATACACTTTGCAAATTTTTATGGAGTTCCCAAAGACATCAAGGAATATATATATATATACATACAGGGTGTAAAGTTAGTAGTGGATCAGCAGAAGTCAGGTGATAGAGTGCCTCAAAACATATCGAATGAACCCCTATATGTGTGGTCCGAAATTTTATAGTTCAGGAGATATTTGCAATTTTGTGAAATTTCGAAAAAAACGGGATAATGAACTTTCAATCACAATTACAACTAAACCATTAGGTTTAGGGCTGTGATTTTTTTTTGAGATGAGCTGAATGGTTAGTTTTAGCAACGGTTATGTCACATTTCAACAGAGCTAATTAGAGATCAACGCAAAAAATCTTAAATTCATTTTTTTGTGAAAAATCTTCCAACCCCTAACTTTGGAGGGCGGTACAAAAAATTGAGGTTGTATTTCATTATTCATTTCATTGTAAAAACTATTTCAATCCATGTAGAATAAAACCTGAAAAGTTCAGCTTGCTACGATAAGTGCCTCACCTTAAAAAATCTGTATGTGGGTACCTATACATGTGAACAAGAAATTCTGTTTCACGAGCTAGCAGTCCAAACGACTTGATGGCATATGAGGTACTGTTAGATTCGACCTAGCAGTGCGAGTGATACTGTCTGTATTAACATTTTGTAAAACCAAAAAGGCGGATTTTTTACGCAAATAGCCAACTCAACTTAATGAGCTTGGGCATTCAACTCGGCATTACAGAAGCGGGAGCGTTCAATCTTCGGTCCACCGCGGAATTTGTATCTAACATTTGGCATCTGAGTAGAATCATGTCATCTTCTCCGCGAGATTATGCAGAAATGCATTACTATTATGGTGCTGCCCTAGGGATTGGTCAAGCAGCTGCTCGCATGTATTGGGAGTATGTGGTTAGAAGAGGTGGATCACAACCGGCGGCATATCCCGACTACCGCGTTTTCCTACGCGTCCATAATGCGTATATGGAGTGCCGCATACTAGGCACTTATCGTCAGCTAGGAGCGCCGAGGATACGCCTAGAATAAATAGAAGATATAATAGAAGCAGCCGAGAGAGATCCCTCTATAAGCACCAGAGCCATTGCCCGAAGCAGAAACATATACCATACTTCAGTGCACACAATACTATGCTCGGAGAACATGCATCCTTACCGTACAAAAAGTACAAGAATTGCTTCCAAGCGACAATGCACAATGGGTTGAATTTTGTGAAAATATGTTGAGAAGGTGCGAAGAGGATGAAACTTTTTTCGACAGCATCTTATGGACAGATGCATCCAACTTTAACTAAAATGAAACATTCAACATGCTCAATTTCCATTCATGGAGCGTGGAAAATCCACACGCTATTCGTTGACACAGCTTTCATCGTCATTTCGGCGGCGTTAATTTATGGGCTGGAGTACTCAACAAAAAATGAAATTAATTGGACCATATGAATTGCCCGCCAGGTTGAATGGTCAGTCATATCTTGCTTTTCTACAAAGCACTTTGCATGAGCTGCTAGAAAATTGATAAAGCAAAAATAAATATTATAGAAAACGCAAATTAATTTCAAAGACTTAGGGCCGTATCGTCAGTCGTTCCTACAATAATTGTAGGACACCTTTACAGCCTTCGTGATTCTAAAAGTCTTTTCTCTCCTTCAAAAATGCTGGGATATTTTTAGATTTCTACCGTTCCGTGTCAGCATCAGCGCTTTCCTATTGTGTTGTTTCCTTTTTGAACTGTAGGAAATTTAAAGCTGATAAAACAGGTGATATAAATCAAAAGCTTGAATAATTTGATTAAAATAGATAGTTGTATGAAAATCAAGGAGGCCATGCTCCTACGCCCTTAGGGCCGTATCGTCAGTCGTTCCTACAGTTGTAGGACGTCTTTATGACCTCCTTGATTCTCATAGTCTTTTCTCTCCTTCAAAAATTTCTAGATTGCACCTTTTTAGTGTCAGCGACAGCGCTGTCCTATTGTGAAGTTATGTTTTTTTTAATTGTAGGAAATTGTAGGTTGATAAAACGTGATATAAATCAAAAGCATGAACAATTTGATGCAAATAGATATTTGTGACCTAACCTCAAAATAGAGCGCTGACGCGGAAAAGTAGAAAACTATGAAAATCAAGGAGGCCATAAAGGCATCCTACAATGGAGAAGTTTCGTGATATTCAGAATCGCATAAGCAATGACATACCAGCAGAATATAGACTAAATATAATCAGCCAGTGAAAAAATTATTGAAATCGGCCAATAAATGACAGAGAAATTGATACTTAAGTTTGGCGCATTATAGCGCGAAATCATTGCTGCTGTTCGTCAGCGTCTGACGTCACACTTCTCTAGTGCCCAGCGTCTCGTCCGTCGGTGTTCGACAGCATCTGTGCGTTTAGTCATTAGTCTATAGATAATTCACAAGACACACCTGTGCGCTCGGACACGTGGTTTCCAGTTGATAACTATTGAGTACTGCGCAAGTTCATACCATTATGGAAGGCGGATTTGCAAAAGGGTTAAGTGGCAATTAGCCCAAAATTGACATTTATGCCGTGATGGAATTCATTTCTTCAAATCCATCTTATACAAGCGCGGAAGTAAAAGGTGTGCAACTTTGGAAGTAAGTATTTATGTTTACTGCTACACTATCACAACTAGCGGCAAAATGTGCAATACCCTACTGAGGTTTTAAACAAATTAGTGTTGATGCTTAATATCAGTACAGATTTGCAAATATGACACGATACTTTTCTAAAATCTCATTAAAGTATATAATAACATTGCACTTGCACACAGTAAAGAGTAAACCCACTTGACGCCTTTTTAGGGGGGTAAGTGACACTATAGTAGCTTACAGCTATTCTGGCTGAGTTGAAGTAAGTGTCCTGTAATATTGGTTGATAAATATTTCCCCTCCAAATGCCTCGTGTACAGAGAAATGAGCTTGGCAATTATATAATAACTAATAATCATAAATAAATAGTGATATACTCACATCAAAGTGTCCTCACAGACATGTTCTTATTGGTCCAATCAAATCACGATTCATAAGTTTGCACCATTTCTTCCTTATATTTTCATGTGAAGGTAAATAGAAAAAATGTTTATTAGGGGGTTGTAAAATTCTTGTGCTCGTACATTTTGGAACGGTACAGTATTTATAACAACCTTATTTTCTTATTTCGCTCATAAGCGATCGTATATGAAGTCAACTAATTAAACAAATTGGGGCGGAAGACGCACCTGACTTCCGTTGATCCACTACTAACTTTACACCCTATATATATATATATATATAGAATCATAAGGGAGTGACCGTTGCTCTTCTAGCTTCTGCTCACTAAATATTTAGTTTTTGGAAAAACATCTTTTTTATTATTGATGAACCGTGAAATACAAACAAAAACCTTTGAACCGGAGAAGGAAAATTCTTTGATGTTTCTGAAAATCGGTGCAGTAGCTACAAAGTTTTGAGCACAAACTAAAAAAATCCAGAATATTTAAATTTTTTTCATTACATTTTCGATATCATGATTACATAGTGGTGCCGTTCCGCGCTGCAACAGCAATAGCGACCAAGCCTGAAATATATCCGTGAGACTAGTGTCACTGTACTTGTATAGAAAATATATCAAAATCACTCTTTCACTGTGAAATATTCAAATTTAAATGTTGTTAAAAATACGTTGAACAGCAAAGAGGTTGTGTCTCTTAGGCCCAATTTTACTAAGCCGGGGCAAAAAGCACGTGTGTCACAAATTTCACCAATGACAAGACATCTTTCAAGTAATGGATCTAAATGAATATGGTAAATTTCTCGTAAAATGTCTCAAACTAGAGAAAAATCATGATTTGTGTAAGATGGGCCCCTAATTCCCATATTAAATCAATAAATACGTCATAGATCCCTTGGTTTAGCTACAAGTACTTATTTTTCCATGTGCGGACACTAAATTAGCTGTCATGATCATATAATTCGCCAATAAAAAATAAATAATATACGTACAATAAATAAACATTTCAGCTCTAAATATGTATACACAAGAGTATGAATAATTCTTGAAAAGAAATGTTTAGCAAGAAAAGGTGATAACACGTCCGCTTTGTTTTAAAAACTGTATAATAACGTATGTTATTCGAATATTGTAGCAATTATAATTTTTCGGGAACTCGTGTATTTTGCTATAAAATACCATTTGAACGAAACTTCTATATTACTCAATGAACCAGCAGTGATGGCCGGGAGATAGGTGCTTTGGGATAAACAATTAGAAATCCTCAAAAACTACTTGACCAATCGATTGCAATTTGATGTGGTTATTTAGAAGTATGGAGCCTACGAGTTTGACGAATTTCAAGTAGCTGCGCGAAATTATCGTCGCATCAGCACCTGCATTTTGTCTCGGTTTTCGGCCATAACTTTTTTACTATTGGTCTGATCTCATTCTGTAGGTCTCGTAAATACCTGAACATCTTTTTTATAGTTTTCTTGTTCCTGTCAACACTTTCGATTGAATCCCAAAAAACACTTTTTCTCATTCTTTGTTGTTGAATAAAAAGTTTTCCCACAAAGATTGGTGTACCCATTTTATGCGTCCATGTTTTAAATACCCAATTGAAATCTTGCATCACTAAAACCAGACTTTACAATTATTTCTGGGAAATTTCAAAATATGATTAGACTACAATGTAGCAGCGCAATGGCATTCGGTCTTTATGGACGCTGGCCAAGCAAATTGAAATTAACTTCTCACAGAGTAGCCTTCCACCACACGTGTCAGGATGGAACGATAATAGATAGATAATAGAGTCAAAGGTTAAGGCGAAAGAACTTGCCAAGATTTTGCTGCCAACTCCACCGTGCACGTCCCTCCCAACGCCCAAGTGCCGTCGATTCAAACGTTCAGGCATAAGACCGTAAGACGGTTGCTCTTGTCGCTCGACATCAACATAGCTTCTGGTCCGTACTTGATTCGTACCATTGTATTGAAGAGGTGTGCAGCGGAGCTTGCTCCAGTTCTTGTGCGTCCCTTCCAAATATCTTATTAACCTGTGTAACGCTTCCTTTCCGCAAAAAGTCCAGAAAAGATGGAATGCAATGAAGATTCCAACTTTTCTGCACAATCACACAAAGGGGGTTACAATTAGCTTCCGGTAGCTCAGTCGGTGGCATGAAGACATCTACAGGCGTGTAGCTGTGTGTCGACCATGGCATGGCTAGAGGATAGAAGAACAAACAGAACACAAAAATTTAACAGATTTTATTTAACAAAAAAAAAAGGCATTTTCATTACATTACAATTTTACAAAAATAACAAAATAAGTTTTACATCTTTGGCGCTGCTATAACGCTATCGACTTATCTTTTCGCTGGTCCATTTTTACTCGACTGAAGCCAGGATGGCCAGGGGTTTGAAGGGGAGGTCCCAGTTGTGAGGGGTGACCTCACATATAGTGGCTTCGTAACCAGTTGTAGGCGAAATTAAAGGCGATGGCGCTGCCAAGGCACATGCATGGGTGAAAATATTGGCCAAGGCTAGGCAAAGTGAAAGGGAAAGAGAAAGGGGGTGGCCCCAATCATTTTTGTCCTATACGGACACACATTCTAGAAAATTCTAGCACATGGTGCTATATAACCTTGTGCTACTGAGAAGAAATTTCTAGCCGTTGTTCGATCGGCGGCTCAAGTGAAAAGGAAGCGCGAGGAAGATCGCAGATCAGGAACTCCGCATCAAGCGCTCCAAGCGGAAAATTTTCCAAGCAAAAAAGCTAGAGATGGGATTAATGAAATGATAATCGAGAAGTGATTTAATAAATACGATCGGACGGTGAAACCGTTACACCTGGACCTTCCAAGAAAACTGGAAATTTGCTATTGATATCACCAAAGCGTTCGATGAACTGTGGCATGCTGCCCTCTTATGCAGACTGCAATCCTATGACCTCGCAGAGAAACTTTGCAGATGGGTGGCTGACTTTCTGTCTGGCCGCAACTTATCCGTCGTAATTGACGGGTTCTCCTTTTCATCCCACAACATCAACGCGGGTGTTCCCCACGGATCGCTCTTGGCTCCGACACTGTTCCTCTTACATATGAACGACACCTCCTTTCCTGTACGATCAACCCAATCCACAGGTTTGCTGATGACAGCACTCTAGATGCAGGAATTCAGAGCAACAAGCCGATCTCTGTCGGTGAGCTGGAAAAAAGAAGACCAGCGGCGACTTCCTCTTTGACGAGAGACCTGGAGGTTATTACTGATTGGGGACGCAACAATCTTGTACAGTTGAATGCTTCCAAAACACAGTACTGAGAATTAGGAGCCCATTTTACTCAAATCGTTTTTCTCTAGTTTGAGGGACATTTTACATGAAATCGGCCAATTTCTTTAGATCCATTACTTCAAAGACGCCTTCTTATGGGTCCAATCTGTGCTGACGGCGCAAATTTTGATTCCGGTTAATAATAAAATCGGGCCTTATTGTTTACTCATACATTTATAAATTTGTATGTATCAGTCCTATGCCACTACTCTTAAGAATGGGTCTCAGGCTTGGTAGCTGCCGCTGTATCCTTCCACTGTCGCTGCACTGAACGTCACCTTTAGGGCGACAAAAAATGTGCAAAAGTTTATACTCTTATTTCATGTTTCAAATTACTTAAATCATGTTTTCAAAAAACATCTCAAATAGGTTACTTTATGCAAATCAACAATGATGTTTTGAATTTAGTAGTCAGCATATAGCAGATTTTATAAGTATGACCGGTATTAATGACATTATTGCTATATTTTTCAGTTTTCACGAGTTCTGTATACGAGGTTGGTGCATAGTGGGCAAAAAACAAACGTGCCCGTACTGTAAAGAGAAAGTGGACTTGAAGAAAATCTTCTCCAACCCCTGGGAAAAACCACACATGCTTTTTGGCCAGTTGCTGGACTGGATCAGGTGGTTGGTTGCTTGGCAACCAATGGTATTGTTTTTGGTGCAAGCTATAAACTGGACTTTAGGACTTGAATAAATTTTTATACTGCCTTTGTTATCCTGTGAGATATGTCAGATAGGTCGTGTTTTGATTTTTGTCTTGATTTGGCATAAAAATGAAAAGCTAACGTTTTATTGTCACGCTGTTCAAAATATCTGAATATTATTCTAGGTTAATAAAAAAGTTTCAACAACTGTTCTCTCATAAGAGCTGTATCAAGAATTGGATAAAAATTAATAGTACAGTAATATGTGGTCAGAGTTACAGCATTAAATTTGAAATTATATACCTTAATTACTACTGTATTTTCACGCAGGACATAAGGTTCGATTTTTAAAATACAATTACAACATTTGGATATTCTGATTTTTAAATGGCACTTCAAATGAAAATGCTCAAGCCGATTGAATTGCCAGTCAGTCGTCCATGTCATGACTTTTAATATCACTTTTTGCGATGGCAATTATCCATGTTACCAATATATATGATTAATTAAAATCTAAAAAACGACCTAAAATGAGAAACGGTATCTTGTTGATTAGCTATACTTAATTAACTTGAGATTTTCTGATAGTTTATATGAAAATATTGCCTAATGAAAAATGTATCCAATGTCTTTCATATAATTGCATGACTACGTCTTGAACAACTTATTGAATACAAAAAGTTTCGGGAACTTTTTCTGTTGTAAATTTTTCCATGTACATTCATGGTGATTAATAATGAAACTTTCTTCAATCATCATAAGATTATATGCTTACAAAAACTTTGGAGTTCTTATGTGAATAGATGATGAAACAGAAATGTCACGGAAAATCAATTTTTCACATTATGGTTAATTTTAATATTATTTTTCTTTTAGGCAATATTTTAATATGGATTCTGTATCAGTATTCGTACGGCATAAGTTAATGCTGAGAAAATAACGTCATCTTGGGCGTGAAAGGTTCGAACCCATATAGACAAACATATACAACTTCAAAAGTAGATACACATGCCCACACATCCGAATACGGGTGTAACCTGAGGAAACGAAGATGATGAGGGAAAAAACTAAACATTCATTCATTTCTGGCTTGATGAAGCCAGCCAGCAGAAATAAGTATCGCTCGGGTTACCTATCTTATTTTCTGCTCGTAACCACTTTCCTCCTTTTTGCGGATTTTGTCCATTATTTTCATACTTTTTTGTTATACACCTTTCTCCGCATGATCATTTCCTCTTTGTAGATCCTTTGGGCTTGAAGTACCACAGCAAGTGGCTATAACCGGCCGCGTGGTTGTGGTTAGATGTCTCCTTGAAAATTCTTTTATGCTACAATGTGTAGGTTAGCTCTTGGACTTCGTGTGTCATTTTTTTCCCTCTCCATCTGCGTTTCCTCAGGTTATACCATATATGATATATATATATATATATATAGACGGTTCACTACCGCTCAAAAGTTTTGGGACAGTAGATTTTTTGAGGGAAATCAAACCATAGAGTGTGTTTAATCAAAAAAAAAATAAAAAAGAATCTATTTTCCACTGAAACTTAATCAGTTGGTAACCTATTTCAATCAAAATTTACTTTAAATTCGTGATTCATCGAAATGTCCACCACGAGCCTGAATAACTGCATTACAGACACGACTCATCCGACGTATGAATTTTTCAAGAATAGTTGGTGATAAGGATACCCACGCTTCGTGCACCTTGGCCCAAAAGTCTGCAGCACTAGTTGGCTCTTGTTGCTTCACCTGTCTGTACAATTCAATCCACAAATACTCGACAGGAGACAAATCATATTCAATGATGTGTTCATATATGATTCTTTTAAGAGCTTCTCGACATCTAACAGTACATTAAATGGCCGCATGTTTTTTTATACAGCTCAGAATTTTGCATTTTCAGAACAGGATTAATTGTAGAACATTTGAATTTCGAAGGAAATTCGCCATACACTAAACAGTGATTCACTAACAATAATGTCTTCTCTCCAGTAATGTGAAACATTCTTTTAGAACCATTTGTGAGAGATGTTCACCAGGATTTTCATTCGATTTTAATCTTGAAATATCTTTTCAAAGACGGATGATGTTTATTGTTTTTAATTGACTTATAGTAGAATTATAGGTAACTTGCATGTGACAAGTTTGGATTCCCATCTTGGATTGACTCCAGTATCTCGTTTATATTTTCTATAAAATAAGCGTTAATTCGTTCTGCAATCAATATTTTCTGTGTTACTATACCATCTTCCAAGCACATTCTCAATGATTCATTCGTGATACTGGGAAATATAATATTTGTTAGTGTCTTCCACATCAGTTTACTGATATTTTCATTGCTATCGATCTTGTTTTCATGATGTTTTTTCTTTTCATTCCTAAAATTTGTAAAACACCTGTTTCTTGATTTAATGGGATTATGTGCATTTTATATGGTACAATCTAGGAAATGAATCATGTTTTTCTCAACATCAACCTCGTCATTGCAACTGGAGCACTCGAATGGTCCACTCCTACTTGCCTTTATATCTTAGCTTATTTCTTCACTGCTGTGACGCTGTACCCTTTTATATTGCCGTTCACTCTTCTTTATCTTTTTTTTTTGTTCTTCTCTAGCTTTTCATTTTTCTTCCCTTTTTAGTTTGGCCTCCTCGAGATTTCTTGTTTTTATATAATATTTTACACAGCAATACATTAAGGGGAAGACATACTATATATGGAACTAAGATATTTTTCTTCTTTTTTTTTTGTTTCCCTTTTGTATCACTTCTCTGAGTGTCGTTCAAAAGATGTTTGTCCATTTTGCTGCATCAGTCTAGGTGATGATAATTTATTGACATCAAACGATGCTTCAAATGATACTATACTTTGGTTGTTGCTTATTTATGTTGATTGATAAAGATTGTCAGATTTAATAATGACTTGCGAATGTATAATTTGCTCGTTTTTATGTGACGATAATAATTCATCTTCTGAAATTGGTGAAGAACACTGAAATTTTCGTCTCCGTTGATTTATATTCTGGATAAATATGTTCCTAATCTGCATGTTTCTGAAGTTGTAAATTTTCATAAGGCTTTTTCATGCTGCTGATGTCTAACAGCTGATTTTTCTCATTTTCGTAACATTTTATTTCGTCCAAAACTATATCGGTGGCATTTTCCATTTCATAATTGTAAAAAGTTGTTTGATACTTCACAAAAATTAAATTTGTTCACTGTGGCATTCATATTTTCTGGAAGCCGTTGCTATTTTCTCACTGTTTTCTGCCATTCCGATTTGAATGGCTTAAAAACGCTGGCATCGGTAGGATGTAATATGTGGGTTGAATTTGGGGTGAAAGCGGCGTAGAGAATTATTCCGCTCTATTGACAGAACTCGCTTAGTAGCAAAGTCATGTGGGACCTATGCCCAAGAATATAATAATTGGCTTTGGAATTTTTCTTCTAGCCACTCGTTAAAACCTTGGCGATGTACTCAAAAAATACACCACCTTTCATCCAACCACTGCCCCACCTTCCTAAAATACTCTGATCATGTATATTTTCTACTATGGCTCTGAGTCGTTCTAACATATGGAAATACAACTAATGGAGATTCTATTTTCCCATCTGCGGAAAATGTTATAAGAACGGTTATATTATATTTTTCTTTGCCCAAATTTATGTATGTATGAGCCAATATCTTCCCCGTTTTCGGGCAAACTGAATAACCAGACTCATCAGTGTTACATATTGTTGAGTAACAATCTCGCAAGCATTATTTACACTTTCAGATTCTCGTAAACTAATTTCCGGGTGTCGCTTCAAAAAATTATATACCGCTTTTGTCCTGGTATTCCGGCCTTGAAATACTTATCTTTCCCTGAATCCTTTGCCAGTTTCTCAACGATATCCAAAAGGTCGTTTTTTTAGAGCAAATCCACATTTTTCACATTTTGTCACCAACTCTTTTAGCTTGCGATCAATGTTATAGCCAAGTAGAGGCTTAGATCATTTTTTTTTTGTTTATTTCCGGTTGACCCGCCTTTCATTCGATCTATGATTGTAGTTACAGGAACATTGAATTACTGGCTTCATTAATGCTTAAATTTCCCGCTTTTGGTTAACATCATCTGTATATTCAAAAAATGTCTTCCTTCTCTGCATTTTAATATTTGCATTTTCTTCAAATTTCGTTCCTTTCTAGTTGGCATCTCTGTAAATAAATGTTTTTTAGTACCCAATATAGGGTAATAAAACGAAGGCCCTCCATATTCATGGTCGAAAACTTGCACTACTATATACCAGAATCCAAAATTTTCAAAACCCATAAAATAAAAAAGATACGAACAACATATTCTGAATTACCCTGTTTTCGACCAGCCATTCGAAAAAAGGGAGAACATTGATTTTCAGTGTCTATTATGCGGCCACCATGTTATATAAAAATCAATTTAAACCACATTTACGCAGAACATACAAGCGGTATTATCGTTAAATTACAAAAATAATGCTGAACAAATATTTTACTTACCGCTCATTTCCGATAGCACAGTATACTAAGGCTTTTCTATAAAAAGTACTGTTGCAGGTGATGTGACTGCTTACTGTTCCATGTTCGTACTGAAAGGTTACTTTTAATATTACACTGCTGAATTTATCTTACTGGTGTGGGAAGCATGGTCGAAAAGTGTTAATCTTAAAGAAACAATAATTGGTCAACAAGTTCGAGTGGTCGGGTAATCGACGCAGTGACCATATGGATTTACGTCTGAAAACATGTATGTTTGCATCACCTCGTGATTATGGATCACCTTGTCGAGATAAAAATATTTTCCAAATAAGGAGCATACCGTTGGCTACCATTTTCGTAATCAACTTTTTTAGATACCATGCGTAATAACGGAGTTATCGGTCGAACGAATACTAAAAACTCGCCCTGTATGCACTAAGAACCAAATTTGTCTATCGGCTTGAGTTCAATGTGTAGGAGAGAGACATATGTTAGAAAGAGATACAGTTGCCGGCACCTACCAAGATTTACTCTCGGACAGACATATCTTCTACCCCTGAAAGTGAAAGCAAATAGGAACGCTCGATATGGTGGAGGGTTGTACTTAATGACATGTTATTGTTTCACTAGGCAGTGACGTGCTCTGAAATTTTTCACGTTGGTCATATGAATTGGAGAAAGTATCTTCTGCTTAATTTAAAAAAACATTAGTTTTGTTTGCGCTTAGGTTAATAATGGAACACTTGTTTCCGCTATATTTATTACCTATATTTTTACATGTATATTGTTATTAGATGTATATGTACAAAGTAGTGTTGTAGCGATTACCCAAAACAGAATTAATACGAATCAATCAAAAAACCATTTACAGAAGTCCGCAGCTTAGTATAAGACGATTAAAAAAGGTCAAGACTGTTTGAAAGCCTAATGTTTACCTAAATATATCCGAAACATGAATATATCTAATAGGATATTCACCTTTAAACTGCAAAATAAAAATGTATGTCATTATCCTGCTTGTAAACACATGCTACATTTCTTTATGAGGGTAAGCACTCGCTATCTTCCACATCACGATCACTGTCACTATCGCTGCCATCATCTCCGATGTTAATAATAAATTCACATGTGGCGTATAACTTATGTTCCCGTTCCAGATACTCCGTTTCAATTTTGATGACATGCTCACATCGTTTTTTCCAATCATTTGGTGTTATCTTTGAAAATTCCTCCTCCGCTATTCGCTGTGCGTCATCTAAAGTAAATGTGATATTTCGATCTGCAACTCTGTTTTTCACTGTAGCCCATATCAATTCAATTTAAATCGGGATGATATGGAGGTAGTCGTATAACTGTGTGTCCGTGCATGCGTAAAAGTACATCATATTATTTATACTGTATGAATTGTTGCTTATTTTGCTTTATCATTTCATAAATTTGTGGTTTCAGCATAGTCGGTGTGAATCTAATATTATTAGATACAAGCCAGTCAACCATTACTTGCTTCCGAGCGTTGCAGTTTGGTGCAGGATCCACTTGTATATTGTGATAAGGTGCATTATCAGTAAGTATCACAAAATTTGGTGGCAAATTTGGAATAAGCTGCTGCTTCAACCATTTCTCGTAACTTTTAGCCCTAGTATGCCCGGCATGTATGTAAGACTCATCTAGGTATATAATTTTGCGGCCTTGTTCTCGGAAGTACTTGATTTTCTGTAAATAGCTGATTCTTATTTGACGAATGTGCCATTTCTCGATGAGTAATTTTCTATTACTCTGTATTTTTTTCATTTGAAGCCGAGTTGTTTAACTCTTTCAGGGGCAAGATATATTCATAAAAAAAGTCCTAGAGGGGCAAGAATTTATGTCTTTTTATTCAACTTTAAAGCATCAAAACAGCTAAAAAAAAGTTATAAAACTACATAAAAAATAAACTAGAATAGTTATTTTAACAATTTTTGTGGTAAAACTGGTGGTACAGTTTATGTACCAGCGCACAATAACGAAACTAAAATATAAATTATTTTCTATGATAATCTTGAAAGCAAGTTTTGTCTTTTCCTAGACAAAGAGGTACTTCGCACACTGAGCAAATCCAGTCAGTCCTAACCTGCTTTTTTGAGGTGCTACACCTAGCACATCGGCGTCTGGTGTCCTTTTTAGGTTGATGCGCACTCTCAGTGATTCTCACTTCCACAGGCACATATGGTTTTTGCTTTTTTATAGCCACACCAGTAGATGAAGATGATTGTCTTTTTTTTGCCACGATGGTTTCTGCAACCAAGAAATTAATCACCTCTCTTCTAAAGTCCTTCATTGACAATTTTGGCATGTTAAGTTCTTTATATAAGACAAACGAATTTACAAGTGCTGCATCGAGGAAATAGAAGAAAATGCGGTGCCACCACTTCTTTGCTTTCCGGTCAATCTTATAAACATTAAGATTTTGATCGAATTTGTCTACAAAGTTCATGTTCTGATTATAATCGATCAATGCAATCGGACAGGGGACTTTCTCAATGACACCATTTTTGTTTTTCCTCTCAACTTCTGTAAAACCTGTGGGATCCTGAAAATTTGATAAATCCATTCTTGTTCGCCAGTATCCATACCTTATACCCTCTCTTGATCGGTTTTTTGGGAAGGTATTGCTTCAGAGAACTCCTACCCTTGTATTTAATCATTGATTCGTCAATGCTTACCTCCCTGGTTGGATTTATGCAACGTTCAAAATTTTGAGACAATGCTGTTAGCAAAGGCCTTAGCTTATACAGCTTATCGTAACCAGCTTCACCCTTTTTTGGCATTATTGCATTATCATTCAAGTGGATATTGGAAAGAAGCAAACTGAATCGTTTTACAGGCATCAAGGAGCTTATATACGAGTCGCGAAATTCCGGGGAACAACTCCAGTAATCTCTATAGCTGGGTGATTTCTTCAGCCCCATTAGTAAATTGATACCTAGAAAAGTTTTGATTTCCGTGCGGTTTGTGGTTTTGGGTTTGATAGATGTTTGCTGACTATACAAATTTGTCTCAAACACAATTAAATCTAACAAATCATCGTCAAAAAACAGCTGAAATAATTTCCCAGGTGTGGGTGATTCTAAATCCTTCACTATATTTGTGATTCCAGAATCGGCAACAAAATCTTCAGGGCTTTTTGGTGATGTACTGGTTGACCAATCTCTGGTACTGGATAGTACACGTAACCGTGCTTGTAAAACTGCAAGTGGTTCGTCGTCTGAATCGCTATCGGTGTCTGCTATATTCAAATCAGCATTGGTTCTTTCTGTAATTTCATATTCATCTTCAGATACATCCATAATTGATTCAGAATCAGAAGGTATAGGATCTGCGTCCAAATTTTCGATCTCGTGCAACAACTCATCATAAGTCATGCCGACTAACTTGAAAGGTAATTCATTCATGGTAATGGATTGATTCCACCTGCAAACAAAACGTTTAGGGGCGATGGTACAAATATCGTACCATTGCTGCCAATATGCTATTGCTCAACACTGATAAAACTCAGTCTATAATACTAAGCTTACGCAGTCATGAGTTGGAATCTGCTCAAACAGTGAAATTGCTAGGCGTTCATATTGACTGTACTCTGACATGGGAGGTGCATACTCGCTGTGTGGTGGATCGTTTGTCCAGAGTTATATATCTCATACGTTGTCTAAAGGATAGAGTATCTGATAAAGTTTCATTAACTGCTTATCATGCATATTTCCACTCTAAAATGACATATGCGATTTTGGTCTGGGGACACTCTCCACATATGCAAAAAGTGTTTGGCCTGCAAAGGCGTTGTATACGATACATCTCTGGTTTGAAATATAGAGACCCCTGCAAGGCTGAATTCATTAAATTGGCCATACTAACCCCTCCATGCGCGTATATTTTGAGTTGTCTCCTATATATCAAAAGTAACATACCTTCCCCACTCATAGTTATAACCACAAATATGAAACACGAAATAGAAACAACATTTGTCATAATAACTACCGTCTAGAAAAATCAAGAGTAGGAACAAACTTTTATGGCATTAAATTTTTTAATCTGCTGCCCAACAATATAAAAACATTGGATATTGATGTTTTTCATAGGAAACTCAAGTATTATTTAATAAAAAACGCATTCTTTAGCACGGACGAATATTTGGCAAATGACTTTACTGATATACCTTAAATGTTTATTTATTCATTTCTCTCTCCAACTTATGTACAGTTGTTATTGTTTTGTTTATCTGTATGTGTATAGTTAATTGTATTATACATATATTTTTCTTAGCGATCTTCTTTTATCTCATGACATTTTTGTATTGTTTTTTTTTCAATTTGCTTTTGGTAATTATGCGTTACGCAGCATTGCATTGTTTTTAACTTGTTTTACTCATGTTTGATGTAGATTTTTCTAAGCGTTCTATGAGTATATATTGACTTGTGTAAACACTAGGGTTGTTGAGGAAGTGATTATGAGGAAGAGGAGGAGGAAGAGGAATTGTCACGCGCAAATTTAGAGGATGCGGATGAGGAAGAGGATATTTTTTGAGGAAGAGGAAGCGGATGAGGAAGCGGATGAGGAAGAGGAAATTATAAATATTAGCGGACCCAACCCAAAAGCCGCTGTTCTGTCTGTACATAACTAGGTACATATGTACATACACAAAATTAATTAAAAGGGCATTTTTCAGTGGACCAAACTATGAATCTAAACCATTCTCAAAAGACACGCAATAAAGAATCATCAAAATCGGTCCAGCAGTTTAGGAGGAGTTCGGTAACATACACAACACACGTACACAAAAAAAAGATGAGTGAATGATACAATTTTATTTAGGAATTGAAATGAAAATAAATATGCAGTCTTTATTTCTTTATTAATTGCTTAAGTCGAATATTTACTGTCAAAATAAAAGAACTGAATACTAATAATCAAACTTAATTATAGGGAGGTTAATTTTTATAAAAATTAATTTGGACGCTGTTTCCCCTGACAACCGGTTTCTTAGCTCATCATATACCAATCCAGCATTGCTAAAAAGTCGTTCGCTTGGGACACTTGATGGAGGAGAAGATAGGTATTGCCGTACAGCTCCGTAAAGCTCCGAATATTTCGGATTATTTTTCCACCATAGAAGACTGTCTTCATGCATATTAATTCGTTTTTCTCTAATGTAGTTATTTAATAGTAACTTCAGTACCACGGATCTATCTTCTATTGGTAAACTTTCAATTTCATCGTCACTATTTAGCTCAGAGGCTAACATTTCGGCTAACATTGAATCTACAATTTTTCCCGTGGAAGTGCTGGCTGTGGGGCAGGATGTGTCTACTACAGCCCCAGAACTAGTGGATGGTTGATTGTGGACATCCATGACGACATTGTCTATTGGGCGTTGGCTGGTTGATGTTAGTACTGTTAGTAGCGCTAATTCAATACGTTCTTTAGTTATTTCATTAAAAAATTTCGTTTTGTATTTTGGATCCAAATATGTAGAGATGGCGTAGAGATTATTATTATGAAGCTCACCGAAGCGGTTGTTAATCTCTTCTATCAGTTTTTGGATGACATTTTTGCAATCTTGGTCATTACCAATGTTATCTTCTCTCAAAAAATTTTGCATTGCACATACTAAGACATGAATCAGTGGTATAACAGAGGATATACATGCCTCAGTGCTGCTCAAAGATTTTGTTACCTCTTCAAAGGGTTTCAGAATCCTCGTACAGGTTTCAAGTTTTACCCAATCACTTGGTACAAGTTGCGGCAAATTTGGGTGTTGCGATGTATATAATATGATAGCATCCTTTATCTTAATAAGTCGCTCAATCATATAAAACATGCTGTTCCACCGAGTAGCACATTCTTGGATAACTGACAGCTGAGGTAAACCTAGGCGTTCTTGAAAGTCGTTCAATTCCTTTTGTCCAGTTATAGAGTGATTGAAGTGCGTCGCAATCTGCTTACATTTAGCCAACAGCGTTGAGAAATGTTCATTAGACGCCAAAGCTGAACGTACACACAATTGTAATTGATGTAAGGTGCAATCTATATCGTCGATTTGTGAGAGACGGGCAGCTCGTTTCATATTAGATCCACCGTCACGGACCATTGCATGTAGCTTTTGCCGAGGAATGTCCCATTCCTCTAGTATTTCGTCGAGTTTTTGAGCTACCAGATCGCCCGTGTGTCGTTCTTCGAGAGTGACACATTTAAGAACTAAAGACACTCTTTTGAAATCATCATTAATGCCGTGGACCGTAAAACTAAGCAGAGAAACACCAGCTCCAGGCTCTGTCCATATGTCAGTAGTGAAAGACACGTATTCCAAATCTTTTATCAAGTTTTTAATCTTTTCATAAAGTTTAGGATAAACGTAATTACACAAATGCGAAGTATAATACTGACGTTTTTTTAGATCATATTTAGGCTGTGCGGCTTGGACAAAACGTCTAAAACCAATACCTTCAATGAAATTGATAGGCAAATCTTGCAATGCAATCATTTCGCAGATTAATTTATCTAGCTCACGACTTTTTTCATGTGATGAATCCCAGCACTGGTGTTTCATTAATGACTCTTGTAAAGTAACTTGCCTCTTGACCAACTGAAGAGAAGTTTCTTCTGTGCACTTACGTTTCTTTTCCACTTCAGCCTTTTTCGAAGCCGCATCGCATTTTTCATACTCCGTATATTCCGTTTTATGACGTGACTGGAGATGACTCCGTAGCCCAGAAGTCCCGCGCCCTTTTCTTGAATATGTTTGATTGCACAAGTTACAACGCACAGTCTGATCGTCTACTTCATTAAAGTACGTCCATATAGCACTACACTTCGGTCTCATTTCGATTTTTGATAAAAGAAATCAAATTATTAGATTATATTATTTGCACTGCGTGTATAGTTGCATACGCGCGTAAACAAAACAACGCTTGCTATTTGCTATTTCAATAAAATTAAAACAAGTTGAAACAAGCAAAGAAAAGCACGGGTGGCGGGAGGGGAGGTCTCGCTCGCCCGTTCCGCCCGGCATCGCGCTGCGGCGTGTGAGTTACCATGGATACGCGACGCGCATGCGCAGTGAAATTCCTCATAAATTCCTCTCAAATTTTGAGGAAGCGATAGCGGAAGAGGATTATTTTCATTTTTATTATGAGGATGCGGTAACGGTTGAGGAACCCAAAATATTGCGGAACTTCCGCATTATGAGGAAGCGGAAGAGGAATCCTCAGCAACCCTAGTAAACACTTTCTGTGTATTAACATCAATAAATTATTATTATTATTATTATTATTACAACAATTCGTAGGCTCTGAAAGCCAAAAAAAAATTAAACCGTAGTTATTTTTCATTTGTATATTCTACAGATTGTACTGTTTGACATAGCATGCAAACAACAAGAAAGCTCTATATTTTATTTACCTTTGTTCACCTCTGAACTTAAAAACACTATAATTTACGTATGAAAACAATTGACATAACCTCAAACCAGCCTACATTGAACGCCGCCGGCAGAATACTAAGAATGCGTTTCCCTAGCATCAAGTAAGCGCCAATCACCGTTGGTCGACGATTTAGACCGCTGCCATTAATACAATATACATTTGATTAAGTGGTACATTTTTTAAGCCACTGCCCATGTAAACGAGTTTTTTTCCGGTACACTTTTAGTACCACTTACCTTGAAAGAGTTAACGATTCTTCTCAAAGGTCTTTCGCTACCATGCCAATCGAAATCTTCTTCTAGTTTCTTCCTAAGCGCTTCGATTGTTACTGGAGACGAGTTTGTTAAATGGAAATTATATATAATGTATCTTATATCGGCAGTAGTGAAATTCTCGTTTGAAAGATCTGTCACGGGAAATTTGCGCTTTCCTGTAGTACTAATTTCACCAGAAAACGCTGCTCGTTCTTGTCCATTACTTCCGGCATCCTTAACCTTTTTAACAATGTGAGTAATACTGGCAATTGATACTCCTGTTGCTTTAGCTACTTCATCTTAAATCTCTGCCATATTTTTAAACAGTCACTGCCAGTTTTCAAATTGAGGATGTATTGTATACCACCTCACTCGTCTGGTTGGACAACACTTTATTTCTACCCATATTACTCATAGTAGAAAGATTATCACTATTCTATAAACAAAACGTGCGCTTTAACTTCAGCTGTAGGCGTCACTAAGTACGCTACTGGAATAACGGCGGTCGAGGTACCAAGCAGTATTGCCGCCGTTCCGTGGGAGTAGCTTGTTACTGCGCACCATATGACCAAATCTTAGTAGGTACCGACAAGTAGTAGAAACCGCGATGCTCATCACGCAACGCTGATGCGGCAATCTGCAGCGTTACCAATATGTTACACCAGTTTCTTGAATTAAGATGCATATTGGAAATATGCGTTAGTTTATTCTTTACACCCAAATAATGGTTTTATTTTAAGCGTACACATTTTTGAATTGTGTATTTCTGTTTAGGATTGATTCATCATTTGTTCGTTTGATAACACCGCATCATGTATGATCATACGTAGTCATGCCATAAGTTCTGTCCCTCGTTTTCAAACAAGTGTAGACCTGTTAATACTTGTCCGATTCTTTACATTGTGGTGTCAGTTGATTAAGCGCTTTTCGGGTAATTACATATACCTCAGTTTGTATTGATCTCTCGAAGCATAACGATGGAGTGGGGCAAGGCAGAGAACCGTATTGCAGTGATAGCTTTACATAAGTGTAATCACAGTGCTAGTCAGATTTTTGAACTCTTACGCGGCCTTCAAATATCGCGTAAATTTGTGTCTAGGACCATTCAGCGGTACAATGAGACGTCCTCTGTTGATGACAGGCCAAGAAGCGGAAGACCTCGTCAAGTAAGGACTCCAGCAGCCATCAAAGCCGTAAAAGCCAGGATTCAAAGGAATCCACTCCGGAAGCAGAAGATCCTATCCAGGGAAATGAAGATTCCTGTCCGGACGATGTCGCGCATCATTAAACAAGACCTAGGGCTAGGGGCTTACCGGAGACGTACGGGCCAGCGACTTACGGCCACCTTGCGACACATCAGGGCGACAAGATCCAAGAAGCTCTTGGAGAGGTACGCAGCTGGGGGATTCCGAAAGATTTTGTTCACGGATGAGAAAATCTTCACCATAGAAGAAAAATTCAACCGACAAAATGACAAAGTGTATGCAAGGAGTTCACAGGAAGCTTCGGAGATCATTCCGAGAGTTGAGAGAGGCCACCACCCTGCGTCAGTCATGGTTTGGTGGGGGGTGTCCTACGAAGGGGTCACTCAGCTCCATTTCTGTAAACAGGGCGTGAAAACAAAAGCGGCAAACTATCAGAGCGACATACTGGATCCTATCGTCAAGCCTTTAAGTGGTACATTGTTTGCCAACCAACACTGGCTCTACCAGCAGGATTCCGCCCCCGCTCACAAGGCTAAGAGTACGCAGCGCTGGCTGGAAAGCAATGTGCCAGAGTTCATTGCTGCGGAAGATTGGCCCTCAGGGAGTCCGGACCTCAATCCTTTAGACTACAAGTTGTGGGACCTGCTAGAGCAGTTGGCCTGCTCCAAAGCCCACCGTAATATCGAGTCCCTGAAAGCGGATTTGATCCGATCAGCGGCAGCTATTCCTTTGGAAGCTGTGCGTGCAGTGATAGATGAGTGGCCCGCGAGATTGAAGCAGTGTGTGAAGGCCAAGGGGGGACATTTTGAATAAAACTGTTTGATTATGAATTCTAAAAATGTTGTCGAATAAATAATATCTTTCATATAAATATATCTTATCTTGTTTCATTTTTATCATGAGATTATCATGGGACAGAACTTATGGCACGACTACGTAGTTGAGCGATTCTGGTCAGAACCCATCTAGCGCTTGTAGGGGAGTGTCGTCTTGTTTCGAAATGGCTTTCACCTGCGTACACGCAGGCAGTGATAATTATTTGTATTGCGTAACGTTATTTGTTACATTTTTCGACCGTAGCGGTGTCGAACAGACCTCCTTCTTGGGTTTGACAGTAACCTAACCTATTGTAACAGCCTGCATGACCTTCTGCGTCACCGTTGCTCGGCAACGCGATTATAACTTTCGCTCTTCAGATGGCATCTATCTCTTTCTAAGATGATTCACCCAACGCTTCTCTCTCTCTCTCTCTCTCTTGTACACTTTAAACTCAACTGGAACCTTACTTCCTGAAAGTGCTCAGCAATTTGCATTTATGCGCTATAATAAAATGTGGTTTAAATTCTCCAGGAAATTTTGTGTTTTGAACACTTGCAGACGTTTCTGGGTTATGATACTTTTAGGAATCAAAGTTTATGCTTTTTAGTAGTTGAAATAATTGAATCAGTTTTTCACTTTTTGTGTATTAGAACCCTCCGCACCCAAGACGGCTACATGTGGGATGTGAATTAGTCGTTATTATAATTTATTAGGAAAGACTTTGTGTGATTGTATACTGACCTTTGTTGATTATTTTATTTACCAATAAAATGTGATATATTACATGTGTCGTTTCAATGTAGTGTTAAGTTGAAATGGGTACTTTCTTTATTTGGCAGAATGTCAATATTTTTAGGTGTTTCCACTTTTGTGTATGATCGAGGAATGACAAAACTTGTCTTCCAAACCTCAAACGTAGAATTTCACACCAAAGGTAATGACTTCTACATAACGTAATACGTTTTGTATCATATCTCCTTAGAAAGTGCTGCTTTGAAGGTTGAGATTGCGTCAGATTTGACAAAAATGACCTTTAGTTTTTAAAGTTGATGGTATGGTCACGTTCGCCATCCGGAACAAAAAAACATCCTACTGTCATAAATCAAATTTATAAGCTACTTTCAAAACACATTTAAACCACTCAAAATACCAAATGATATTGCCCGAGCTTTTCTCAAAGATATTTTTATGATTTTGGTTCCTTCAATATTCGTACAATGTCTGTTTTTACAGATGAGATTTAAACTCGCCGATGTGCATCTCGCGTAGCTTCCCTGAAAGACAAAATGTATGCTACGCAGATTGTACTCACTAATTCTCGAGAGCCAGGACCTATACAAAATAATTTATTGAATGTCAGTGTTACAAGTAAGTCTGCAGATACTACAAATACCATTGTTGTAGGAGAAACATAAGTTGTGGAAGTTATGCCCGCACGTAGCCTTTTTTATTTCAATCAGGATAGGACCACTCAGCGGTAATTCACAGAAAACACACTCATCATTTTCCTTGAATATATTCGGCTTTCTAATATCGGAATGTGTACCAATATATTTCTTTATAAGGTATTTTTCCATCGATTCCTCAAACTGAAACAAAATGTTACATGTCTTTAGCCTCTACGGTGATTTTTTTATGGCGCCACTTTTTAATCATGCTTTATATTTTTCTCAAGCTTGGCACGAGTGCACAACTTATGTTATCGAATCGATAACGGTTCCAACAGGGAAAAAATACTGGACCAAAATGTTAAAAATTGACAAAAGTGTTTTACCCAAAAACAAACACCCTGTGTATTGGAATTCCTGAATTTTTTTGCATATCTGGAAACAGAAACTTCATTCTAACAATCAACATTTGTTATTTGAGCAGACGATTTTGTATGAGCTGGAGATATCGATTTTGTCATTTTGGATTACTGACTGGAGATGTTATGGTCTATTAATTTATTTAAGGCCTGCTTCATCTAGAATCTAAATTAATCAAAACATACCTCCAGGTTCGTGTCAAGAACTAAAGGGTGGCAGTTCTTCCATATCCACATTTTGAGAAAATTTGCATTGGGTAAGTCTTTAAAATTTACATACACATTATTATACAGCCGGAACATCTCAGGCAGTGTAAATGGTAACATAGCTCGGAGGTACTCATCCGGATGGCGTGATTTAATGATGCAGGCAAACGCTAGCTGTTTTTTGATAGAAGGAGTTTGTAAACTTTAAATGAGTCCAGTCCGGTATATGTTTCTGCATTAGTATTGCAATCGATTTGATAGGATAAGCTGGCTACGTACAGCCTGTTTGAAAATGATATACAGGTGGTTGTTAAGTTGTGAGGCCATAAATAAATGAACAAAATCGATTAAACACCTTGTGTATTTAATTTTGTTTGAAACAACATCAAATTGAATCGATTGATTGAGATACTGTCAGGGAAAACAGCCCAAGACAGCCGGCCGTCTCTTGCTTCAATAAATTATCCCACACCATTTAGATGGGTACTACTGACCGGCAGTTGCCATTTATACTGTGATGTTGCGGCTTTGTAATAATCGTGTATACGTGTATGTGAATTTGGCAGACTTGCTCAATGGCAATCGCAATATGTGAATACGCAACCGACAACCATTAGTTCTTAATACAGACCAGGATGGCATAGAATTTCTTTCAAATTTTACACAAATGTGGAGGATATACTCTTGAATAGTTATAAAATAGAAATAAAACATAAAGTCACCAGCTTTGTATATACTCCCAAATGAAGGAAATCAGTATATCCAGATCTAACAAAATCATCTACTTATATAACAAAAGTGGATCATTAGAATGAAGTTCTGTGCTTTTTCTAAATATGTGAACGAAATTGAGAAAGTCCTATATAATTGGTGTTGTCTTTGAGTAAAACGGTGTCAAATGCTAACGTCCGGACCTGCATTTATTTTCCTATTCGTATCGATACTCGATTAGATGTATCGCGGTTGGTTAAAAAGTTGTGAGGCCATAAAGAAATGACCAAAATCGATAAAACTACCTGTATATTGGTTATAAGAAGATAAAGACAAATCAACTATACTACCGTTTTTGGGCAAAAGGCAGTAAATAAACTTTACTCAATTTTTTAAATTTTGACACCATATTTAACAAAAATAGTTATTTTTAACTTTGCCAAATACAAGGTGGGCCATTAAGTTGAGCGGATTTTAAAAAATCATAGAAAAAACTACAAAGCGTAGGGTAGATAATTTATATTTTTAATAAAGTAGACACATGGTATTTTTTTTTTTAAATAACATTACTGAGATGTGAGTCATAGAGACGTGTGCATTCCTCGAATCTCGGCTTCAAATTCGTGAAAACTCGCTGGCACATCGCTCGTGGGAGCGGACATCTCGGAAATGTTGTTCCGCAGAGAAAAAATTCAATGACGTGAGATCTGGGCTCCGGGGAGGCCACGGAATGTCCCCTCGTCGCGATATCAGTTGTCCACTAAACATTTCGTTTACAACTAAAGATTCGTTGGAGGTATTGGTTGTCGCCCCATCTTGTTGAAAACAGGCCCTACTAAGGAGGATTCAAAATTATTAGTTGTGGGAAGAAAAAGTTACGTAGCATTGCTGTGTAGCGATTACAATTTGCTGTTACAGTCTGGCGTTGCTCGTTTTCGAATAAATAGGGTCCGATAATTCCTTCGGTAATTTTGCTTGTTGACAAATCCACTCAAATGAAAATGAGCTTCATCAGAAAAGAATTTTGTTCAAACTTGGCAAGTGCTCTAACGTCGTTTCGGCAAACGCACGGCGTAGATGGTGGTTCTGCGGTTTCAATTCCTGCACTAGTTGATGTTTATTTATATAGGTGCAATTTGAGGTATATTATCAAAATACGCCTTACAGAAGTTCTTGATATGGCGAGCTCAGCGATATCATCTTTCGGGATGATTACGGTGAATCGCACCGTACGGACGTCGCAACTTCACTTACAGTTTCTTCTGTTCGTATTGACCTTGGAAGTCCCGCAGGTTTCTGATTCAGTGTCGAACCGGTAAACTCGAATTTTTTGACCCACGACCTGATCACACTCACTAGGATATTGATTTAGATCATGTAAACTAAACTCAGAGCGAAACAGACGCCGCGCAAAAGTGCACGAATCTCCATGTCTGTAATAAGCCTGCTCACCGGTGAAACGCTCCATGGCGACTAATTTTTTTAGATAAAAAGCTACTTATCCCAACTACCCGAGTCTCGCTCCCGCGTGCCTGTTACGAGCAATGCGGTTTTGAAATTCGTACGTCCTTCTGGTCCACCCTGTATTTCATATTAATTACATTTCCTAATCATAAAAGCAATAAATAAATGTATCAAAGTAAAAAAGCCGTACTTTTCAAACCGTACTGCTTTTATCTTTGTATGCCTTTATACCCTTTACAACCTGTTATGATGTTTACTTTATGTAATTATTCTATTATTTGTGAATAAGTATTTATCGCTATAAATAATTTATTTTGCTCCGAAAGAATTATTTTGGAAAATATTCGTAGTTTTTAGTTCATATAATTATTTTTGTTGAATTTAATTATTTAATGTAATTATATATTTTTTACTTTTGTGTTATTTATTTAAATTTCAATATATATATATATACAGGGTGGCCCATCCATGAGTGGACAGAATATTACTCACAAAGATAGGGTGTTTTTTTTTCGAGGTATAGAAGTTGGCGTTACTGTTGAAGATGGCGACCGATTTGACAGCTGTCAAGTGATTTATTCTCGGTTTCGTTTGGCAATTTATCATGAATAGACTCATGCCTGAACAACGCTTGCAAATTGTGCAGTTGTATTACGAAAATAATGGTTCTGTGCGGAATACGTATCGTGCACTATGTCCATTTTATCGTCGACAAAATCGTCCATCAGAGCAGTTAATTCGATTAACCATGGAACGTTTTCGCACCACGTTTACTCTAATTGATAACTCGCATCCCCAGAGATGCCGTACGGTGCGTACAGAAGAAGCTATTGCTACTGTAGAGCGTAGCATTGAGGAAGACCCGAATGAGTCCATCCGCCATCGAGCACAGGAATTGGATCCGTGTCCATCCACTGTATGGAAGATTTTGCGGAAGGATCTTGGTTTGCGTGCTTACAAAATCCAACTCGTGCAAGAATTGAAGCCAAACGATCATCAAGCAAGGCGTAGATTCGTTGAATGGGCCCAAAACGAGATTGCCGTTGTTCCCGATTTTCATAAGCGAATTTTGTTTAGCGATGAAGCGCACTTCTGGTTGAATGGCTACGTCAACAAACAAAACTGTCGCATTAGGAGTGAAGCTAGACCTCAAGTCTATGTCGAAACACGGTTACATCCAGAAAAACTGACTGTTTTGTGCGCTTTATGGGCTGGTGGAATCACTAGTCCGTAATTCTTCAAAAACGATGATGGCCAGAACGTTACAGTCAATGGTGATCGGTATAGAGTCATGATTACTAACTTTTTCATTCCTGAATTGAACAATCATGATATCCAGAAGCTGTGGTTCCAACAAGACGGCGCAACATGTCACACAGCTCGTGCTACAATCGATTTATTGAAAGACACGTTTGGTGACCGCCTAATTTCACGTTTTGGACGTGTGAATTGGCCTCCAAGATCTTGTGATTTAACACCGCTAGACTATTTTCTGTGGGGCTATGTAAAGTCATTGGTCTATGCGGATAAGCCACAAACACGGACCATTTGGAAGACAACATTCGCCATGTTATTGCCGATATACGGCCACAAATGTTGGGAAAACTCATCGAAAATTGGATGTCCAGATTGGATTACATTGGAGCCAGCCGTGGCAGTCATATGCCAGAAATCATATTTAAAATGTAATGCCACAAGATTATCTTTCGAATAAAAAGAATTCATGTCAATCGAATAATCCATCGTTGTTTTATTGCAATTTAAAGTTCTATAACTCTAAAAAACACCCTTTACATCTTGGGAGAATCTATTTATGGAATGTTATACATGACATTTGAGGGGACATTTCTAAAATATTGGTCATTATACAGGGTGTCCGAATTTCGACCTACATATCAAATTTGTGATTTTTCAAATGGAATGCCTCAAATTATATTACATCTTTGGATAAACCAATTCAAAAGAACAAAATTGATATAGCATACTATGGGGTTTTGGTAATTAGCTGAGATATAAGGTGTTTTGTCTAGAAAAACCCCCCACTTCGGCAACCCCTCAGTCCGCCATTTTGGAATTTGGAGTGCTGAATTTTGTATAAAAAAACTTGCAAACCTCAGCTTTTATCTTATTTGTTACTTTGTCGAATTTTAATTTTTGCTCATACAGGGTGGTCAAAAATGCAAATTGTAGTTATTCTCAAAAGTTTTAAATGCATCACCCTGTATATTTGTGCAAGTTTGGAATCAATTTTTTTATAAGCTTTTTTTGATATCAGGTTTGATTCAGATAAAATCTCTAGATTTTGAGTTATTAAGCTTTTAATAGAACAACACACCAAAATTAAGGAAAAAATCACATCATCCATGGAAACAAAAGACAAACAGTGGGCTAGTTCCATAT